AGGCAGGAGAGCTCCCATGGCCTCCGTCACCACCTGACCTCCCTCGGACCCCTCCACTGTAAGATGGAGATGATGATAGGCCCTGCCTGGTAAGGTTACTGTGAAAGTTAAATGAGTTAAAATACGCAAAGTGCCACTTGAGGGTGGGCTGATCCAGGTGACGTACTTCCAAAGAGCATGGATTGAGACAACTGTCTAGTGGAGAAACCTGGCAAATCCTGCATCAAGCCAGGTGATCAATGTTAATATCAGTGACGACACCTCGACCTTGGACTTCTAGCCTCCAGAACTGTGAAGCCATACGTTTCCGTTGTTTTAAGTACCCTAGTTTGGCCCTAGGAACATAACTCAGGACCAGAAGGGGGGAGCAGGGAGCAAGGGCAAAAGCAGCCTTTGTTTCTCTGCTTTTCCCCACTTCGTGGCCTTCAAGACCCTCTTGTCTCCGAACTCAGGTTCAGCTGCTCGTGGCTCAAGAATCCAATACTGAGAGACAGTGCTGGGTAAAAGGAAAGACAGCTTTATTGAGGAACCCAGCAATCCTGGGGAGAAGGTGGATTCATATCCCAAAGAACCAACCCCCAACACCCCAGGTTTAGCTCAGAGATAATGTACGGAAAAGAGGAAGGGGCTAGGTGCTGAGGAGAGGGTTGCAGGTGCGTGATCAGCTCATAGACATACTTCTGATTGGTAGCTGGTGAGATAATTGGCAGTCAACCTCATCAACCTTCTGGTTCCAACCATCCTGTGGTCTACATGCTTGTGGGCAGCATACATTTAACTTCTTCCAGCTGGTGGGGGGGTCTCTGTAAAACAGCTCAAAGGATATGGCTCAGCATGTTACCTATAGCCCTTGAGGAGGAAGAAAAGGTCCTTGACTTTGTTTAATGGCCAAAGTATTATTATTTTGTTGTGTTTGACTGTTTTCCTTTGTTTCTGCATTTTCTCACTTCTCTGATTAAATTTATTCTTTGGAACTCAGGGAAGACCTAGGAGGCTAAAGTTTTTCTACAGGCAAGAGGTAGGCAGAGTACATTGGGGGTGGGGGGTGTCTGTCCTGGGAAGGCCCTATGGTGTCCTGCTCGGTTACACTCTGAGGGATACCCCTGCCCCGGCCTTACCAGGTCCCTGACTTGCCCTCTGTGCCCCACCCTTGCAGGGCCTCATTGGGCTTCAGGCTCCCTCTGACCCTCCCAGCTGCCTCTGTTTATGCAGTGGGCCTGGGTGGGGTTGAACATAGTGAAGCATCTTCCCCTGCTCATAATAATCTGCTCGGTTGAAGTTGGGAGACAGCACTTGGGCCCTACTTGTTGGCAGTTTTCTCAAGGCTGTAGAGTTCTTAGCACCTCTTTTTTTCAGTGATGGCTTCAAGCACCAGTTTCCCAGGCTGCAGGAAAAGCCCCACTCAGCATCCAGTTACTCCACATTTGCAAGCTCAGCTGGGCTTTCCAGGGCACCAAGTGGTCCTTGTCCGGTCCCAGCTTGCCCCATCAGGCCTCCTGGCGTTCACCTAGTGGGTCCCTTCTGACTGCAATGACCTAATGACAGGTCCCTCCTGCAGAAATATTCTGAGGCCAGCTCCTATAAAAATTTGCCCCTTCCCCAGTAAAGTTGAATGGATGAATGAATAAATGAATTAATTAATTAATGCAAAGCGAATATAGTCTCAGATCCACAGAGGGAGGACAGTGTGAGGTCCTGGCACTAGGCTGCCTGGGTTCAAATCCTGGGGCCAAGACTAGCTGTGTGACCCTGGACTAGTTACTTAACTTCTCTGTGTCTCATTTTACTCATCTGCCAAATAAAATAATAATAGCACCCACCCTTGAGGCTGTTGTGGGGATTCAATGAGATAATGCCAATAACTGATTTTGTGCCTGAGACTAATAAATGTTAGCTTCTCTGTCATCCAGGGCACGAGGCTCGGTATCTTTATACCTCATCCTATGCTCATACTTAGAACCTAAATTTCCTTAGATCCGACCTAATCTTTTTTCACACAATGGACTTGGCTAATTCATCCACTGCTGCGTAATTTATTATCAGAGACAGTGTGTTGGAGACTGAACAAATGTTAAGACACTGCAGGCTGGACACATCTGGGAGAGACACATTTTCAGTATGAGGAAACAGGATACGGGGTGGAGAGAAATCATTCACTTGCCAAAAGGAGCCTGGGCTGAATTAAACCTCTTGACTTAATTACCAATTAAAACATTACAATAGCAGCACAGGCTACAACTTGCAACTCTGTCGCTATGAATCTTCATGCCAGAAAATGACTGCGGGGTCCCCCTTTAAAATAAGAGCATGCCTGGGTGGCCGTGCTCACAGGGAAATAATTGCTGTGTGTTTCCAAAGGCCGCCTCTCTCCACCTTTATTTAAAGTACCTAGGAGATTTGACAGACAACTAAAGGCCAATAGGAGAGGAAAAGGAAGAAGATACTAGCTCTGCCACCCAGCCTTACCCCTGTGGGACCCAACAGGGGTAGGGGGACAAGCTGAGCTCATAGCGCTGCAAAACATGCAGCATCATAACACAGACTGTCGCCAGGCACGTGCCTTCTGCGGCGAGAAAACTGGCGCTGAGTGAACTTCTCTATTCCTCGAGAGATGCATGCATAGCACTTTTCAGCCAGAAGACCATTTCCACACTCCTCTTTATCTCAAACATCCGTGCACCCAACTGGGTGCGAGAAGTGAGGCTCAGAGGGGGCTGATGTGAGGTTCTCAAGGTAACCAGAGGGGTGCAGCTCGGCTGAGCCTGATCTCGGAGGAAATCCTGTGCTTTTCAGCAGATGAGGGTCCTGACCACCCCCTTTCTTCCAGAACAAACCCAGGTCTGTGTAGGAGACCCAGTGGACTGAGATCTGGTTTAGAGGATGACACCCCAGGAAGAGAGCATGGTGTGGTAAAGAACAGAGGGCTGTGGCCTCAATTTTCGTACATGGTAGAGGAAGGCAATTCCAGACAGACCCAGACATTTGCAAAGTATAAAAGGAAGAGGAGAATTTGAGGAACGGAATATGTGAAAAACGGTTGATGTGCCAGGAGGGCATGCTGGCCAATCCAGGATTAAGCTTTCTGTGCTTCTCCAGACCTGGGTGTGTGCGAGGGCTGGGGGAACAGAGGAGACTCACTGGTTTGCTCCCAGTAATTTAAATGACTTGGTAGGTAACTGAAATCAGCTGGATGCCACGGGAGCGAGAACTTCGGAGGATGGTATTGGTACAAACCTGCCTAATGAACGTGGAGATGACAGCCAGGACACTGACAGGCATTATACAGAGAAAGCTAAACTCTCAAGGTCTTCTGCGGCATCCATAAACAACTGAAAGTTTTTGCTTTCTAGCAGCCCAAGATCAGTACACTGACTGGCCTCATTACCAGTGGCCAACTAGGCAAGGAAACTGAAGTTCATGGTTTCCAATCTATTTATGGCTTTTCCTTCTCCCCTCTTTCTTTTATATAAATCCTCTTCTAGCCTTTATTAGATGAAGTCAATCTATATGGGTTCCCCTCTTTACAAGTAAATAGCATGCAAATAATTAACTCAATGCCTTTGAGTTATTTTTTGACCCTAGGGTCCATCACTTGGTAGCTGGCAAATGTCCTTTGCATGTCACTTAACCTCTTGGGCCTCACTTTTCTCCTCGGTAACATGGTGTAAATAGCTCCCACCTCTGGGATCCTTGCAAGGATTAAATGAGATAATCCATGAAAAGAGGTACACACATATGCTATTGCTGCAATCATTATCATTTGTATCAGTTTCCTACTGCTGCTGTAACACATCACTACAAACTTAGTGGTTTAAAACAACACAAATTTATTCTCTTAACGTTCTGGAGGTGGGAAGTCTGAAATGAGCCTTACAAGGCTAAAATCTCAGTGTCAGCAGTGCTACACTGGAGGCTCTAGAGAAGGATTCATTTCCTTGTCTCTTCAGCTTCTAGAAGCTGCCTGCATTCCTCGGCAGTGGTCCCATCCTCCCTCTCCAAAGCCCACAGTGTAGCTACTTCTTATCTCTCATTGATTCTGAATTTTCTGCCTCCCTCTTATAAACACCCTGTGATTACATTGGACCTACAGTACTTGGATAATCTCATCTCAAAATCGTTAATCACATCTGCAAATTCCCTTTTGCCATATAAGGTAACACAGTCACAGGTTCTAGGGATTAGAAGATGGACATCTTGTATGTGTGTGTGTGTGGGGGGGCACGTGTCATTGGTCTGTCTACCAAGCTCATTTACTTCATCTAACACTAACTGAACCCCATGAAGTAAATACTATTTTATTCCCATTTGGAAACTGAAGCACCAAGTAAGTAACTTTTGCAAGGTCACACAGTCAATAAGTGGTGAAGCAGTGATTCCAGCTGAGGAACTTGGCTTCTGGAGTTCATGTTCTTACCAGCTGAAATATGTAAAGTGACACACTATACATATATAGCATTATATCAATGTTAGTTATTGTTGTTATATATATATATATAAAATATATATATTGTTATTATTGTTGTTATTTTTACTAAAATTAATATAATAATCCTTATCTCATATGACTCTTGTAAGAATTTAAATAAATTAACCTTTGAGAAGCACCAAACAGTGCCCAGCATACATCAGGTCTTAAAATGGTATTTAGGTAGATCTTTGCAGTCCGATTAACCTATCTTTCTTGTCACTGGAAGACATTCATTTCAGTTCCCTTGCCCTTCCAAGATGGCGCCATCGCCACACACACCCGCCCCGCGCAACTGACCCACTCAAGCTGGCGTGCATTGCTCTGCAAGACGTATGCCGCCCTTCTCAAGATGGCGACAATACTAGCCCTGTTACCTTCCGCCCTCTTCAAGATGGCCTTAGCAGTTAGCTTCACTCCTGGGTACGGTGATCTTCTCAAAATGGTGAAGGACGCAGCGCGCACCACATCCTGACCTTCTCAAGATGGCGCCAGCGTCGTAAACAGCGTCGCTCTCATGAGGACACTTCCGGTTACGCCGGAAGCCTGTATAAGAGGCCTGCGGAGACCCGGTGAGGCGTTCACTTTGTGCTGGGGCGCTCTGGTGCGACCATGGACCGGAAGAAAAAGCCTTTGGACGTCACGGCGTCCTCGGTGAGTACGGGTGTAGATGATGCTGCGGGCTCCACGTCTCCTCGCTTCTGCCGGACAGGAATCTCGACCTCGTTTGTTTCTTCACTCGGGGACCCAAACTTGGCTTCCCCTCAGACAGGACCCCCGGTACCTGGCTTTTCTCCCAGAAAAAGCCAGGGCCCACTTCTTGCTTGTAGAACCCTGAACGTGACGTCTCCTCTCCGCCGTGCACCGGCACCAGGCTTGCCCCTCAGACGCGGACCAGAACCTGGTGTCTTTTCCGGGTTTGGAATGTCCCTGCCTCCCCTCCGCGACAACAGGCCAGGTCTCTTTGCCAGCCTTGTCTTCGTTACCGTCGGAGGGGGAACGCAGCCTCTGCTAGCTGTGCAGATATGTCTCCCTTTAGTTCAGGGACGGGCATGGTCCCCCCAGAACATTAGTGTGATTTGTTCCCCAGGGTCCGAGATGCCCAGAGTCCCCACCAGGAACTAAACAGTTGTTAATACACCCGTAGGCTGCGCTGCCCGGAAGCTGTAAGGTCTAACAGAATGTAAACAGCATTGTTAAGTTAGTTGCTTCTAGGAAGAAAACCTGTTCTGAGTACTTTTGTGCCAGCACTTTGTATGCACTACCTCATTGAATCTTCCTGACTGTTTTAGGAGGCAGGTGCTAGTAATATCCCCATTTTATAGGTGATGCCATTGAGGCTCCGAAAATGAAGTGGCTTTCTCCAGCTTACATACTGAGTTCTTAGTGGTAGAACTAGGCTCACTCCATCTGTTTGACTCCAAAGCTGTTGTCTTTTCCGTTATATCAGAGCAAATTGCCTAACCTTTGGTTTAATCTCGGATTTACTGCAGAATGTTAGGATGCACGCGATATGAAGGAAAAGATGGAAGTAGCCCAATATTTGAGCTCCTTTCCCCCGTCTAATACTGAAAATTGGTACTAGTTGTTATGTTTGAGGATTAGGAATCAAAAAGCTGTAAAATTAAAGTTATCCTTTCCTGACGGGTTAAAATTAGCAATAATCATAATGTGAATGCCATCTGGGAATTGACACTTTTCTGAGCATCTTCATTTTAAAGTTCAAAAGTTTAATAGGAAAATGTCTGGCTAGAAAATTAATGTAGTTAAGAAGGCTTAGAGGGACTTTCTTGGCAGTCCAGTGGTTAAGACTTCGCCTTCCAATGCAGGGGACGTGGGTTCGATCCCTGGTTGGGGAGCTAAGATCCTACATGCCTCTGGGCCAAAAAACCAAAAGACAAAATAGAAGTAATGTTGTAACAAATTCAATAAAGACATTAAAAATGGTCCACATCAAAAAAAAAAAAAGGCGGCTTAGAAGAACAGGCTTAAGTTTTTTTCCTTAAATGTACAAGTCTTTTTTTTAGTGATACATGTAACTTTATTTATTTTTAATTTTTGGCTGCGTCAGGTCCTAGTTTCAGCACGCGGGATCTTTCGTTGTGGCGCGCAGGCTTCTCTCTTAATTGTGGTGTGCGGGTTTTCTCTCTCTAGTTGTGGAGCGTGGGCTCTGTAATCTGCAGCACGTGGGCTTAGTTGCCCCGTGGCATGTGGGTATCTTAGTTCCCCGGCTAGGGATCGAACCCACGTCCCCTGCATCAGAAGGTGGATTCTTTACCACTGGACGACCAGGGAAGTCCCAAGGCTTAAGTTTTAAATTTTTTTTTTTTAATTTAGAGTATTAGGCCCTAGAATGAACCTGCCCTTGGCATTATTAAAAACCCTGCCAAGCCTGTTTTTAAATTGCTTCCTTCCAAAATAGAAATCATTGAGCTCAGTCATTTTGATTTACCTTAAAAGTCAGTTTGTGATGCTGGGCTTTATAAGTATCTGCTTTATAAATGACCATGTGTATAAGCAGCTGTACTTGGATCCTTAAAAAGGAAGCAGTCATTACATCCTTTTTTGGAGTAGATAGTGGTGACTGATCCAACTCCCCTGTACCCTTTGCTCTGGCCTTTCCTCTTCTTGAACCCTGTTGTTCAGCTAAACTTGCAGTTTCCAAAACACGCTGAAACAAAATTCACTCAGTCCATTTTCTTTCTAGCTATTGAAACCTTGCCTATCCTTTAAGCTTCATTTCAAAGCCATCTCTGATCACTCTGGCCAGAAGGAAATACTCCTTTATCTGAACTTTTTGCTACTTAATTCCACTCTTCACGTCATTTTTTACAACGGACTGGTATTGTAAGTTACATTTCTTAGGAGATTGTAGGCTCTTTGAGGCAGCTTTATGTCTAATTCATGTTGGTATCCTGCTCTTCAATGTTAAGTGCCAGACATATACTGGTGCTCAGATTGTTGCTGAACAAAGACGTTTTCCTATAGAAATAATAAATTGTTGTGATGTTTAAGTGAAATTACTACAAGAAAAAGCCAAGGACAGTGCCAGTCAGACAGAAGGTGGTTAATAATGTTAGTTGAATCTGAATCTAAAAGATGCAGATTTCATTTACCTTGCTTTATCACTCTCCCCTTGCCCAGAGGAAAGCCTTGAAGTGTTGAAAGTTAAATGCATTTACAACAGAGCTGGAATGAAATATGACTTGGTTTTATTTTGTACTAGATTCTACATTTAAACTTTTAGTTTTATATCCAGTTTTGTCCATTTATAGGAGCTTGTAATCTTGTTTTGAGAATTATAAAACTTAGAAATCCAGTCACTCATTAGAATTAATTGTTTTTGTTTGCTTATTGGTTTTATTTTAGTTGGTAGACCTTAAGGCTGAACTCTTCCGAAAACAAGAAGAATTCAAACAAGAAAAACTTCTAAAAGATGCTGGAGTTTTGGGGAAACCAAAACCAACTACTAAGGTAAAAATAAGATCTAATTATCTCCATCAATTCCAAACATAGGGAAATTACACTGTACTTAGGTCTTTTGAAAGTGTTCATGGTGTCTGCTACATAAAAATCCCTGTCTTGTATTTGAACATATGCATGAAATGTTTTAAATATTAATAGAAATTGGTAAGATTTAAAAGCGCATTATGGGCTTCCCTGGTGGCGCAGTGGTTGAGAGTCCGCCTGCCGATGCAGGGGACACAGATTCGTGCCCCGGTCCGGGAAGATCCCACATGCCGCGGAGCGGCTGGGCCCGTGCGCCATGGCCGCCAAGCCTGCGCGTCTAGAGCCTGTGTTCCGCAACGGGAGAGGCCACAACAGTGAGAGGCCCCCCGTACTGCAAAAAAAAAGAAAAAAAAAGCGCATTGTAATGATCTAATTCTTTAGCCACTTCTTTTGGAATAGTACATGCTGTTAGAATGTGTTTATTTACATTTCCATGGAAGATGATCTAGTTTTACAGGTGTTATAAATCCAAACAGAGATAAACAATTAGATAATATAGAAATATAGCAGAAATATAGCTGGGTCTTTAAGAGTTGTGAATGTTTTTACAATTTTATAGCTAATGGTATCTGTTACTTGTGTTACTAAATCTCTGTTATATATGTTTTCATTAGTCTTGAATTAGGTTGTAATCATTCAGGAGATAAAAGAGAAGTAACTGCAATTGTATAAAGAAATTTTTTTTTATGTAATTAGGGCTTTTTTTTTCAGCTCCAGCTTTGCTATGGACAGTGTATTTACAGGACATAGGTTGGCTGTCAGAAGTCTAGTTATTTCCACTGATTCATAAGATCTAATTATCTTTTTTTTCCTTCTGATGTACAAGACAAGTAGAGAGTTTTTGCGATCATTTGGTGATTCTGTCTTGTCTTTTTAAATTATTCTCCAGAAACCAAGTATCTGGAGCAGACAAAACACAGGAGTTTCGAATCGAGCTGAGAAGGATGCTGAACAGAAGATTGAGGAACAGAAGACTTTGGACAAAGCGAGGTAAAGTTTCGCTCTGATAAATGTAGCTGCTGTTGTGGCTACCCAGGCAAAGGAATGAAAGTTCAACTTTTACTCTTTTTGATTTACAATTTTAATTTTTATCATCCTTATAGCCAAATACTCTTATTACTCTGAAAATAATATAATTTGCAGACATATTTATAGTCTTATAAGAAGACAAGAGAAAGCCTCAGTTTAAAAGATGAAACAGTCCCACTTTGAGCCCCTGTTAGGCACTGAGGTTATCAACAAGTGTTTAAGAAGTGTCCCCATGGTGGTGTGGTTTGGGGCTACTAGGTGGCATGCTATTAGCATTTAGAAAGTGAATTTCCCCCTCAACTTTTTAATATGAAAAACTTCAAACCGACAGAATATTTGAAAGAAGAGTGTGATGAATATTCTAATACTTTTCACCTAGCTTCACCAATTAACATCTTTTAAAATTTACTTTCTTTTTCCCCCTCCCTCTCTCCAGTGTGTGTAGAGAAACTTCGTTAAACATCATGATACTTTACCTCTAAATATTTCAGCATATATCTTTTAAGAATAAGGACATTATCTTGCATAATCACAATACTGCTGTCATACCCAAGAAATTTGACACTGATAAAATAGTACTATCATATGGTCCATATTCAGATTTCACCATTTATCCTAAATAAAGGTTATGTCCTTTATTGTTTTTTAAAACATTTAATCCAAGAGTCAATCAAAGAGTACATATTGCATTTAATTTTCATATCTCTTTAGTCTCTCTTAATCTAAAACAGTTCCCTTGCCTTTTTGTTGTCTGTTATGCCGTTAATGTTTTTTAAAGAGTCCAGCCCAGTTGTTTCTACAGTGTCCCACAATCTGATTAGGGTCACACTAACTGTTGTTGGTAAGAATACTATTGAATATATAGGTAATGATATGTCCTCCCATTGAATCACATCGGGAGGTTCATGATGTCAGTTTAAGTCATTATTGGTGATGATAACTTTGATCACTCAGTTAAGATAGGTCTGCTAGATTTTTCCACTGTAAAGATGCTCTTCCGCATTTGTAATTAATAATAATCTAAGGAGGGAAACTGAGACTGTGAATATCCTGTTTGCCAGTATGTTTTTATGCGACGGTTTTGTCTTCACTGATGGGTCAGTTATTACAGTGATGATTTCAAAGTTAGGATTTTTCTAATTCTATCCTTCCATGTTTATTATTTTTTCATTCTGTTTATTAGCTGGCATTCTTCTGTAAAGAAGAGCTCTTCCCTTATTTGCAGTATCACCCTGGACTCAGAATCCCAAGTTTTAATGTCTGTCATGACTGCCACATGTGCTTTTGGATCTATTGCATAATGAAAGTTGAAAACAGTGGTTGCTAAGGCTCCTCAGCTCTTTTGGGTCTGAGAATAAAGGGCAGAATATTAGCCCATTTGGGGGATTGTTTTCCTTAATGTTTGGCCTATCCTCAACAGACATGAGACTTGACTTAAAGGTATGTTCATTTTTGAGACATTTTTCTCACTACTGGACATTATTCTTAGAATTTTAATTTTGTTGAAAGATGCTATAACTTTTTAATGCTTTATATATGTATTTTATTAAGATATAATTGAAGTATAATGTTATATTAGTTTCAGGTGTACAACATAATAACTTGATATTTGTATATATTGTGAAATGATCACCACAATAAATCTAGTTAACATCTATCACCACACAGTTTTTTTTGTCTTGTGATGAGAACTTTTGAGATCCACTCTTTTAACAGACTTCAACTATGCAATACAGTCATTATACTGTATGTTACATCCCCATGACTTACTTATTTTGTAACTGGAAGTTTGTACATTTTGACCCCCTTCACCCATTTCACCCATTTCCTCCCCACCCTCTGGCAACCACCATCCTGTTGTCTGTATCTATGAACTTGTTAGTTTTTTTGTTTAGGGCTTTTTTGTTAGTTTGTTTGGGTTTTTGTTTTTTTAATTTCACATATAAATGAAATCATACGGTATTTGTCTTCTTTGTCTGACTTATGTCACTTAGCATAATGCCCTCAAGGTCCATCCATAGCATTGCAAATAGCAAGATTTCATTGCTTTTTATGGCTGAATAGTGTTCCATTGTGTATGTATGACGCCTTTTCTTTATCCGTTCATACATCAGTGGACACTTAGATTGTATCCTTATCTTGGCTATTGTAAATAATGCTGTAATGAACATGGGGGTGCATGTTTCTTTTGAATTAGTGTTTTCATTTACTTCAGATAAATACCCAGAGGTGGAATTGCTGGATCATATGGTAGTTCTTTTTTTTTTTTTGGCCATGCTGTGCGGTATGTGGGATCTTAGTTCCTCAACCAGAGATGGAACCCCTTCCCTCTGCATTGGAAGTGCAGAGTCTTAATCACTGAACTGACAGGGAAGTCCCCATATGGTAGTTCTATTTTTATTTTGTGAGGAATCTCCATACTCTTTTTCCATAGTGGCTATGCCAGTTTACATTCCCACCAACAGTGCATGAAAGTTTCCTTTTCTACACATCCTCACCAACCAACACTTGTTATTTCTTGTCTTTTTGATAGTAGCTGTTCTAACAGGTATGAGGTGATATCTCATTGTGGTTTTGATTTGCGTTTCCCTCATGATTAGTGATGCTGAGCAGCTTTTCATGTACCTGTTGGCCATCTGTATGTCTTTGAAAAAATATCTATTCAGGTCCATTTTTTAAATTGGATTGTTGTTTTGCTGTTGAGATGTAAGTTCTCTGTTTATTTTGGCTATTCAGCCTTTGTCAGATAAATGATTTGTAAATATTTCCTCCCATCCAATAGGTTGCCTTTTCATTTTGTTGATGATTTCCTTTGTTCTGCAGAAGCTTTTTAGTTTGATATAGTCCCTTTTCTTTATTTTTGCTTTTATTGCCTTTGCTTTTCATGTCAAATCCAAAAAAAGTCAGTGCCACAGCGGATGTCAGGGAACTTGTGGCCTGTGTTTTCTTCTAGGATTTTTATGGTTTCAGGTCTTACATTCAAGTTTTTATTCCATTTTGAGTTAGTTTTTGTGTACAATAATGGTCTAGTTTCATTCTTTTGCCTGTGGCTGTCCAGTTTTCCCAGCACCATTTATTGAAGAGACTGTCCTTTTCCCATCGCATATTCTTGGCTCGTTTGTTATAAATTAAATGATCATGTGTGTGGGTTTATTTCTGGGCTCTCTTTCCATTCCATTGATCTATGTGGCTGTTTTTATGCCGGTACCATACTGTTTTGATTACTATGGCTTTGTAATATAGTTTGTAATCAGGGAGCGTGATGCCTCCAGCTTTGTTCTTCTTTTCCAAAATTGCTTTGGCTCTTTGGGGATCTTTTGTGGTTCCATACAAATTTTAGGGTTGTTCATTCTATTTACGCGAAAAATGCCATTGGAGTTTTAACAGGGATTGCTTTGATTTTGTAGATTGTTTTGGGTAGCATGGACATTTTAACAGTATTCTTCTAATCTGTAAATACCTTTCCACTTATGTGCATCATCTTTGGTTTCTTCATCAGTGCTGTGTAGTTTTCAGTGTATAGGTCTTTCATCTCCTTTGTTAAATTTATTTCAAAGTATTTTATGATTTTTTTTTTTTTTGGCTGTGCCACATGGCATGTGGGATCTTAGTTCCCCAGCCGGGGATCAAACCTGCACCCCCTGCGGTGGAAGCATGGAGTCTTAACCACTGGACAGCCAGGGAAGTCTCTTCTGTTCTTTTTGATGCAATTGTAAATGGGATTGTTTTCTTATTTTCTCTTTCTGATAGATCATTATTAGTGTATAGAAACGCAACAGAGTTTTGTGTATTGATTTTGTATCCTGCAACTTCACTGAGTTCATTTATTAGTGCTAACAGTTTTTTGGTGGAGTCTTTGGGATTTTCTTTTTTTTAAATTTATTTTTGGCTGCATTGGGTCTTCATTGCTGCGTGCAGGCTTTTCTCTAGTTGCAGTGAGCAAGGGCTACTCTTCGTTGCGGTGGGCGGGCTTCTCATTGCAGTGGTGTTGCGGAGCATGGACTCCAGGCATGCAGGCTCAGTAGTTGTGGCGCCCAGGCTTAGTTGCTCCATGGCATGTGGGATCTTCCCGGACCAGGGCTCAAACCCGTGTCTCCTGCATTGGCAGGTGGATTCTTAACCATTGTGCCACCAGGGAAGCCCAGGATTTTCTGTGTATAATGTTATGTCATCTGCAAATAGTGATAGTTTTATTTCTTCCTTTTTGATTTGGACGCCTTTTTTTTTTTTTCTTGCCTAATTGTTCTGGCTAGAACTTCCAATACTACACTGAATAACAATGTTAAGGGTAGGCATCCTTGTCTTGTTTCTGACCTTAGAGTAAAAGCTTCCACCTTTTCACCATTGAGTATTAACTATGGGCATGATCTTTTTTAGTTTCCTCTGCATAACAGAGTATTCCTTGGTACTTTGCTGTGATTTTTCTATCCAGTAACTTTTTACATAATACATTCATTGTGCTCGTGGGGAATCAAGTCTCCCCATGATCTGCAGGACTTCTGCATCTCTCCAGAGCTTACAGCAGGCCGAGGTAGGTCCATGAGGATCTAAGGCCTCAGGCAAGTTACTTTTCCATTGAGACGCTTTCCTTGTCTGTGCTGTGTGGTGGTTAATACTTAACTCATGAAGCCCTTTAAGAGATTAAAGGAGTTACATAGTGTCTGGCACATAGTGGGTTCCAGATAAGTGTCCCATACCCTTGCCCTCTGAGTTCCATCTTCACTACTTGACTGAAGAAATGTTCTTTACAGTCACCAATGACTTCTTCATATACTAAATCCAGTGGCCATTTCCCTGACATCTTCCTTGATCTCCATTACTTTTTAATTAATTAATTAATTAATGTATATTTTTTGGCTGCATTGGGTCTTCGTTGCTACACATGGGCTTTCTCTGGTTGTGGTGAGCGGGGGCTGCTCTTCGTTGTGGTACGCGAGCTTCTCATTGCGGTGGTTCTCTTGTTGCAGAGCACGGGCTCTAGGTGCGCAGGCTTTAGTAGTTGTGGCGCGCGGGCTTGGTAGTTGTGGCTTGCGGGCTCTAGAGCGCAGGCTCAGTAGCTGTGGCGCACAGGCTTAGTTACTCCACAGCATGTGGGATCTTCCTGGACCAGGGCTCGAACCCGTGTCCCCTACATTGGCAGGTGGATTCTTAACCACTGCGCCACCAGGGAAGTCCCTCCATTATTCATCTGAAGACTCTTCCTGCCATCTTAAAACTGTCTTCTTTCTGTTACACTGCATCCAAACTTCTTATCCTTTCCCATGCACTCTTGTCCCCACCTGTCTCTGTTGTGTTTATTTTGTACCAGTCTCCCCTTTGTTCAGCACCCTCTACCACGCTGATGTCTCCTTGAACATGTCAAGTTCATTCCCTCTTCATCTTTCCTCTGCCTGACATGCTTTCTCCCTGAAGATTCCTTCCATGGTTGACTTCTTGGTATGCAAGCCTTAGGCCAAACGTCCTCTTCAGAGAGGTTTCCCCTGACTACCCTATCTTAGTGTCCTGCCCATTTTCTCTGTCCAGACAGTGTATTTTGTTTTCTAAATTTTTTGAAGTTTTATTTTTACTAAGGTGAGATTCTGTAACAAGACTGCTTGTTACATTAAGTTCCATCTGAAAAAGAGCAACTTAACCTCTTAGAAGTTGATATGACTAAGCTGGTCCACAGAGCACTCCATCAATGCATGACAAAGGGCTTCTATTGGGATAACCTGTTTTTATTTCCTTCCCTTCTTCTCACTGTCTGAAATCCTCTTTTTCATTGATTTATTTATTGTCTTTCTCCTTCTCTAGAGTGTGACCCCCATGAGAGCTGGAACTTTGTCTTATGCACCTAAAACAGTGCTTGGCACTTATGTAGTCAGTGCTTGCGAATGAATCTGTAAAATGAAAGAGGAATCTTTCTGACATAGACGCGAAGAGGCTGTAACTGGTGGCATGCTTTACGTGTATTATCTAATTGATTCTCATTACAAACCTAAGAGGCAGTGCTATCTTTCCTATTGTGATGTGGGAATTGAGGTGTGTGAGAGGTTAAGTCACTTATTCCAGAGCACACAGCAGTGTGACCAAGGAACTTCATTGCCTTGGGACACCATTATTATTATTATTATTGTTAATACTATTTTGGTTGCGCTGCATGGTATGTGGGATTTTCGTTTCCCAACCAGGGATCGAACCCATGCCCCCTGTAGTGGAATCACAGAATCCTAACCACTGAACCACTAGGGAATTCCCTTGGGACACCATTAGAAATGAAATTTTCTATTATGATTAAGTGTGATCCTTCACAAGCAAAAACTCAGATGACTTGTTTGGGGCTCTTTACCATTATAGGTATTTCTAGAATAAAAGAATTGTCAGCTGTCTTACCCACGAAAGAATAAATGTCTCTAGAATTAACATGAGCAGGGAGACTGCTGTATTGAAATACCAGGGTTGATGTTTGTTTTTTATTAGCTATTTGTCATGAATACATTATTCATGTTCTGTATAAAATAGACACGATATATTTTTAACAGACTTCCAAGAAGTTGGTCTCTACCTCCCTTAGGCCTGATGAGCCAAGGGAGACCAGGGACCCTTGTATAAGACAAGGAATTTGTAAAACAAATAGAATTTGTTGATCCATTTGGAAGGTTGCAAATAGAAAATGTTTTTGTTTAAACATCTCTCTTTTTTTGGTATTTAAGTTACATTTGGCATTTAAATTAAATTGGAATCTTAATTCATTCATGTATTCACTCATCAAATACTTACTGAGCATCTGCTATGCACCAGATACTGTTTTAGGCCCTGGGATACAGTCAAGAATGAGAGAAACATGGGCTAGGCTTTCACGGAGCTTGCGTTTGGTTGGCAGAGCAGACCTGGCTGGGCCTGAGGGTCCCCTCAGGGCGGGGTTTCAGCTGTAGTCAGGCTGGGTCCCTTGGGCAGGTTGCAGCAGTAAGGCTGGGGATGGGGCAGACTTACCAGGAGTTGCAGTGATAAAGACCATTTCTAATACTTGCTTTTTTTTTTTACTACTAGGGAGAAATTGGAAGAAAAAGCCAAATTATATGAAAAAATGACTAAAGGAGCCTTTATAGGTAAATATGATTATTTATGTATCTTTATTTTCTGTAATTCATATACCTCTGTGGTATTTTATTATTTGTTAAAATAATTGTAAGAATAGGGAGAAATTTAAAGAATAAAATTGATTACTTTCCGTGCCAGCACAGAAACAAGAAAATCAGCAATAGTTTTTCAGTTGCCCCGTGGGTGCTGGGCTCCATGATAGGTGCTATGAAGGGACAAGCTAGTACGGTATAAGCCAGATTCTCTGCCTCTGCCCTCAAGGGGGGGTATATCATCAGTGGAGGAAAATGGCACAGAACAAAACAAATTTAGGAAGCAAGGTCTAAATAGGCCACAATTACAGTTATTGCTATGTTAAAAAAAACCTGGGAGGAATTATGGTTATATCAGGGTACTGGAGTTATGGTTCCTTTTCCCCTGTTTTTCTCTATTTTTAGTTTTTTTCTGTGATGTGCTTATAGTTGCTTTTAAGATAATAATAAAAAGATCCCCCTTTCCTCATACCTGCCCCAGAAAAATAAAACCCAACCTACAGTTCAACAGCAGTAGAAGAGATTTTACAAGGCAGTACATATCTTATTGCCTTTAAAAGGCATGTGTGGAAGTCTCTAGGGAGAAGGTGCCTCTGATGGGGGTCTTGAAGGTGTTGGAAAACTGGAGAAAGGGATTCTGCAGGGGGAGAATGGAGAGAGCAGATCGGAGGGAGGAGAGGGCCAGAGCTGGCAGAGCCGACTAGCAGGGCTGGGTCAGAGGGGCAGGGAGAGGGGGTAGTGGGGCAGCAGGAGGGTAGCGGGGCGGGACCCTGGTCATGGGTGGCCCAGACAGCAGAGGCCTGTTCCCTGTGTGGTGGGGAGCCCAGCCTGGGCAGGTTGGGTGCGCGCAAAGCTGAGGGCCCTGGGAGAGGCTTTGCCTTCCTCCTAAAGAAGCAGCAGGGTGTCAGTCAGCAGGAGGCCTCACTGTTACATGGTCTTACACCTCAGTTCTGGGAACGTGTATCTCTTTCCCATTTGAGTTACATGTTTTTGTGGCTTAAAAAAAAAAGTCTTTTTTCGTTTGATTCAAACTTTACTTATATTGTTAATATAGAAATCAAGTCCAAAGGAGTGTGTAGACGTGGAGATTTGGTTCTGTCCATACCGGCAGGCCCACCTCCTGATAGGCATATTGGACCAGCATGTTCGGGCTAGTCAAGTTTTGGAGCCTCAGCTCTTCTCCACTGTACAGTGAGGGTAACACCAGCCCCTGGTAGTAGGGAACCTACTATCTGTTCTTTAGAGCTTAAATCTAGCAGAGTGAAACTTCATGAAACATTGTGAATACACCCACTATACTGTGTTAAATTAAAATCATGGATTGCTGTTTAACTTTCAGTGTATGTTTTAGCTCAAGTAGATCATGAAGCCTGCAGGCAGATGGCACTTTACACATCTCTGTATGCCCTGCAGATCCTGGCACCGTGCCTTACCTGAAAGTGGTGTTCTTTGGATTGAAAAGAATTCAGATGACTTCATTTACTTGTGTTATGACCCTTCAAACATTTGCCATACTGTAGCAGTATAATTAGGGTTATGGGATATGGCCCACATGATTAGAGAGGGGTATTACTGATAGCCACAAAGACTACTGAGAAATACAGTTCTGCTTCTGTATTATGTAATTGGCTATATGAGTCTCTTGAAATCAAATGGTTTTGTTATCTTAAAGCCTTTTGTTATTGACAAGGCAGCAGAAAACATTAGGCTTTTAAAGATTTTTTTATGTGGTACATGTGTCCAGTGGTCTATTTACAGCTTCCCTGTCAGTCTCGAGGTGGCTCTGTGTCTTTGTGAGCATTTAGGGGGTGGGTGGAGACATCAACTACTGAATTGTCGGGTAATATAGCTGCCTAGTGTTGAATGTGACTGCTTCCTGTCAATTACACGTGTGGTCTTCTTCTTTGATGTCAAGAATCTGAAAATTATTTTTTATGTCCTAGATGAAGAAGTGGAGGATATGTACCTTGTGGATTTCACACAGAAGATCATAGACAAACGCAAAGAAATGGAAGAGCTTGGTGCCAATAGAGATTATAGAAAGACAGAAAGAGATGATGATGAAGAAACCGTTTCTGAAAAAGATATCCCTCCTCCCCAGGATCCCAGTGAAGAATGGTTGGTGATATTATGCCATTTGGTCATGTTAACATTGTCAGACTTGCGTTTAGTTTTTGAGAGTTATGTTGTTTGGTTGATATCAAGCCATTTCTCTCTATCCTTAAATATTTATTTATTTACTATTTATTTATTTTCGCTGTGCTGGGTCTTAGTTGTGGCATGTGGGCTCTTTGTTGAGGCATGCGGGCTCTTTAGTTGTGGCGTGCAGACTTCTTAGTTGCAGCATGTGAACTCTTAGTTGCGGCATGCATGAGGGATTTAGTTCCCTGACCAGGGATTGAACACGGGCCCCCTGCATTGGGAGTGCTGAGCCTTACCCACTGGACCACCAGGGAAGTCCCAGTCTCTCTCTCTTTTTTTGGCTGCATTGGGTCTTCATTGCTGTGCGTGGGCTTTCTCTAGTTGCAGTGAGCAGGGGCTGCTCTTCGTTGCGGTGCGCGGGCTCTAGGTATGCGGGCTTAGTAGTTGCGGCTCGCGGGCTCTAGAGCACAGGCTCAGTAGCTGTGGCACATGGGCTTATTTGCTCCATGGCATGTGGGATCTTCCCGGACCACGGCTCAAACCTATGCCCCCTGCATTGGCAGGTGGATTCTTAACCATTGTGCCACCAAGGGAGTCCCTTTCTCTCTGTTCTTAATCAGTTTTCTTTCTTTAGAGACTCCACTTTAAATAGGATTGGATTTATAGGTATAGAAGGAGTAGCTCCAATAAGGAAATAATTACAGGTAGACTGAACTCCTGCCATGTGCCAGGCACTGTGCCAGGTATGGAGGCATTGATAGGCCTGTTTCATTGATGTGAAAAAGTTGTTTAGGCAGAAGAATGTTCCTTTGTTACCCATGCCACCTTACCCATGTCCTTATTCGGGCATCATGGAGAGTCATCACGTAGATAGTGTTATCTCTATTTCCAGTGAAAAGAGGCTGGCAGAGCTGATCCAGTGAGCCTTACTCTGGCTGTGACATTTTCTGGCAGTGTGGTCTAGGCATCATGACCTGGATCTGGACAGCAGTAGCTCTGCCTTTCACTTGTGATATGGTTGTGATCAAGTTCCTACCCTCTCTAAGCTTCAGTTTCCTCATCTGTAGAACAGGGATGGTGATGCCTAGTAGGTGAATGATGGGGAAACTAAACTAGTCTTTTCTTTACAAAGAGACCAGAATGAAAATTCCATTATGATTTTTTGTACCTAAGACATTGTTTAGAAACTTGTTCAAAAGGGCTTGAAATTGCATGGAGATGCACTGATGCTGTGTCCTGGGAGTAACCCTGCCTGTTCCCCTCCTGCTGGTGCAGAGCCCACCCCTCCCCCACTTCAAGGCTCAAATGTCCTCTTTATGGGGGTGTTTGTTAGGAACTGCTTAGGATTGTTGGCAGCACTCGTTGACCTTTTGTCAGCCATTGCCCCTGTGGGCAGGAGTCATTTATGAGTGAGGAGAGCAGTCTTACTGCTTGGGAACACAGAGAACGTGCATCTTCATGCTGTGGAGGGGTCTTCTTACCTACCTTCTAAAACACTTATATTTGGGGTGGGCTAAGTGGCCACACACTTGCTATAGCAACCAGAAGAGGAGCCTGTATGATGCCATCCCTTCTGTCATGGTCTCTTCATCATTTCTAGTCTAAGTGGTTTCTCCCTCATCTCAACTCTGGTAGCACTTAAACATACTTTCTGCTCCTTTGGGTCTTACCTTTTATTTATATTGACACATAACTGGCCTCATTACCAGAAGAAGATTGAGGCAAACTTCTGGTACTTTTTACACCCTGCCTGCTCCTGTTAGGAGTGTTTCATGAGCGTGTGCCCTAACTTCCCCCTAGAGCCCTGTGAAGAGGGCATGACTCCGAGCCCTCCTGTGTCCCCCTTGTACCTCGAGTAATTGTTTCTCTGAGAGCTTGCTCAGTGATTGCTGATTACATGGGGCAGTTGCTGGCTGCTGTTCTGCCACTTCTTTTTGATGGGATCTGAATGTTTTGGAGGCCTTCTCCAGAGACAGAATGGCCTGTGATTGCTTTTCATAGGAGAAATCTCATCTCCTTTGAAAGGTTTAATGTCTTTTTTTTCCCCTCATATTAATGCCTGTATGATTACAATCAATTTGTTACTGATTTGAAGAGTTTGGAGGGCAATTGAAGGTGTCACATGCCACCATATGGTGAAGGAAGATGCACTGCAAGCAGTTCTGACACTTTTTTTGTTTTTAAATTAGGTTCCAGAATTGTAACTGCTTGTAAAATCCTTTAAGTAGTTAAGTTCCAGGTGGTGGAAAATCTTTCCACAAAAATACTGTAAATAACTACTCAGACCATCTGGCTCAATGTTTTTTGTTCTCCATTCATAGAAGAAGAAAAAAGGAAAAGAAGAAAAGGGAGAAAGAACCTGCTCTCTGCTGTTGGAGGTTTTATTTCTGTGGTCATCAGTTTTAGGACTATAGTTGTGGATTCCCAAACATTCAGTTTTTAAATCATAGGCTGACAGTTGGAATCGGCAGGTGTGAGACAAAAGAAAAGGCTAACAAAAGCAAAGCCACATGCATGGTAATCTGACCTTGAGTTGGTCCAGCAGCAGCGCTGGCCCTTCTGTGCTTTCTTCAGCCTCCTGCCAAAGGCTGTGAGGGAGTCCTTGCCCATAATTTAAAAAATTTAAAATGTTTTGCATCATAATGCAAATGAAATGTTACTCATGAAAACCTGCCCTTTTCCTGTATGGGGGAGTCTCAGTATTTCACTGGCCTTGCCGGCTGCCTGGCTCCCCTGCCTCATACCTGGACAAAGGTACTTGGGGCCAGGATGAGGAAAGAGGAACAGGGGTGAAAGATAACAGACTGGCCCACTGCTGAGGTGCTTCTTTGGTATAAAATGTGTGTTGCTTGGCTTCCTCCTAGTCAAAAAGAGTCTCTCAAAATACTTATATTAAGAAAGTTCTAATTCATTGGGAAGAATTGTACCAATTTGAAGAAATACAGGAAAGAATAAAAAGTCAAATTTGGGAAGACTGTAAGGAAGTGAGCAAGTTGAGAATATGGTACGGAGCAAAGTTATTATGATGCTGATAAAATATTTGGAATTGTTTAAACCAAATTAAAGTAAGTTCTGAGATGCTGCAGCAGGGGTCTTTGTGGCGTATTTGTCTTGAGGTCAGAGATGTACATGATCATTTTCTACAGTTTCTAAAACTAAGATTTAATAAAGGGCTCAATGAACTTACTGTGTGTCAACTTTTAACTTTGAAAAACATGTTCTTACCAATGGTAGTGGTCTCTCAGGTTGAGGGTTTTTCTTGGTGATGGGGCCTAAATTAACTTTTTACTGTGCACCAACTTCCTAACTTACGGAACCATATGTCATGTACAATTTTCCACGTCTTTTCACTTTTATTTCAGGGTGGATTATGTGGATTCTTTAGGGCGATCCCGGCGCTGTATGAGAAAGGATTTGCCACATCTGCTGGAAATGGATAAAAATCTTCAGGGGAGGCTGTAAGTGTGTGACATGCAAAGCTTTGCCCATGACATGCAGACACGGGGATTGTTTTGTGCGCAAGGCTGTTTTTAGTTTATTTTCTTTGGTGCTCTGCTGTAAGAGTATTTTTTTAATGTATAAGAATATTAGTGGAAGCACTTTTTTGGGGTTAGCATACACATACACACATAGTCCACACTCAGGGAACAACCTGAGTGATTGATCATCCAGATTGTGTAGCTACTAAAAGGGATGAGTTAGAGCCTATCTGTTTACTTGGAAGGATGTCTGCCTACAGAGTAACAAATAGAGAATGAGCCCAGACCAAGCCAACAAACAAACCACTGCGGAGAAAGTGTTTAAGAATATACTCTTGGTTATCCCACAGCAGGTGGGGGCAGGCAGGTAGTTAGCTTAACTTTTTGTTTATACACCTTTGCATTTTGAAGTAAGGGCTTTATGGCTAGAATTTTTTCTGTGGTGCCTAAGACACACCCAAGAGGTAACTTGCTAAAACATCCCAGGGAATAAAATTCTAACCAAGGGCAGCTGTTGTGTGGAAAGTGTTGGGAGAAGGTCCACCTTGTCCACATCATCCAGGTTCAGGTAGGCCTGGGCTTGGCACAGGGAAGAAAGTGCAGAAGCCCTGAGCCACCTGACAGGACATGAGGTCCTGCACGGGAGGCCGTCCACAGGAGGCCCGTAGTTCCTCCTCTCTGCCTCTCCTGCCCCCTCCATTCAGCCCAAGACCAGGGTGGGAAGGAAAGTAATTTGTCTGAGTGGTGAGGCAAGATTTCATTATGCTAATGTAACATGTTGCTTGCTTTGATTAAAGAAAGGTGAAAATAGTTTTTGCAGGTTCCCAGTGGTATTGTGGGTCAGAAGCCTCTGTAAGAAACTGTCTTCTTCATAACTAGAGTTACTCATCCATGATCGCACTCCTGAACTGAAGCATTGCTGTGTCACAACTCTTATCTAAGATGGTTTTTGCTCGATTTTCCTAGTTTCGTTAGTCCTGCAAATGAAAAAACCTTACTATCTGAAGATATGAGAAAAGAACTCCAGCGCCAGCAATGGGAGGAAGAAGAGAGGGAGTCCCTGAGAAGACCAATGGGGCCCGTACATTACGAAGACATTCGTGAAAATGGTATAGTCATCTGGCAGCTTTTTTTTTTTTAATTTATTTATTTTTGGCTGCATTGGGTCTTTGTTGCTGTGCACGGGCTTTCTCTAGTTGCGGTGAGCGGGGGCCACTCTTCGTTGCGGTGCATGGGCTTCTCATTGTGGTGGCTTCTCTTGTTGCAGAGCACGGGCTCTAGGCGTATGGGCTCAGTAGTTGTGGCACACGGGCTTAGTTGCTCCGTGGCATGTGGGATCTTCCCAGACCAGGACTCGAACCTGTGTTCCCTTCATTGGGAGGCGGATTCTTAGCACTGCGCCACCAGGGAAGCCCCCATCTGGCAGCTTTTTTAAATCATTTTTTTATCTTGAACAAATGACAAGCATAAAAGGAAGTATTCGTGAAGCAGCAGCTCTTATGTGGAAATAAAAGATTCTGCTTTCGGAATTGAAAATACCCCTTTTTTCACTTCATAGCCTAAAAATATTCATATTGGGAGTATCTTCCTAACAGAGGGTCTGTTAATCCGAGTTTGCTCCCCAAGAGAAGTGGAGACAGCCTATGACTAAAATGTTAATGAATATTTGTCACTTGGCAAACAGGATGGAAACAACTTCTAACTTTTGTTTTAGCTGCTTCTTAGAAAAAACAAAACAAAATGTGTGAGACATCATTGTGTTACTTTTTGCTGTGGTAGGAATTTGGTCTGAATTTAATTCACTGATCAGGGAAATCTAACCTTTTGGATAATTTTGACTTATTTCAGAGGCCCGGCAACTTGGTGTTGGATACTTTGCCTTTGCCCGAGATAAAGAGTTGAGAAACAAGCAGATGAAAACTTTAGAAATGCTGCGTGAGCAGGTACAAATTAAACTCAGTTGATGTTAAGGATTTGAGCGGTTGGGTTTCTTGTTGTACCGTACTGCAAAAAAATCTAGTAAATTAATTAGAAATTTACATTGCTATTCAGAATGCAATTATCGGTTTCATAAAGGTAATTGCGATATTATTTTGGTGTTTCAGACTTTAAGATTATAGTTGTTCAAAAGTAACTTGTATAACTTTGATGTTTTAAACTTGGTTTCAAATATGGCACTTTTGGAGCGGCCTGGGTGAGAAAATAGAAAGTTATTAGAGGGTGGTTAAGGAGTAGGACAGAATTTTCTTGAATGGTAAGCCTTCCAGGATACTCTGAACTCTTACTAAACTTCAGAAGACATCAGAGGGCTTGTGTAAGAGGACTTAACGGGTCGTCATGTTGAAGATCTCAAGGATGGCTTCTTAGAGGTGGCAGGAAAATCAATTAGTCTATTTTTAGAATAAAATTAATTATTTCATCCTTTTCAACAGAAATATTGTGAATACGCTAATCATTTTCTAATTTTCTGTTCTGTTCAGACAACAGATCAGAGAACAAAACGAGAAAATATAAAGGAAAAGAGAAAGGCTATGTTAGAAGCAAGACTTGCCAAACTCCGACAAAAAAAGATGAAAACATCTAAAGAGGATGGAGCAGAGGAAGAAGTTAGAGGTATATCTTGGCTCGTGTTTCTAAACCACAAAAGGAAAAATTTTGTTGATGTCTCAATAATAGGACTGGCAATGTGGAAATCAGCCATCTAGTTTTATTCTCTAAGCAAGCAGTGCACCTTGGAGATATTGCCAGGAACAGTTTTTATAACCAAAGTGGCATGGAATTACACTCCAAAGAAAATTTTAGGCTGTAGACAAGGGTATTAGCAGTATATTGTGTTGTTTCATAGAACAGCATGGTTTAGTAACTGAGACTTAGGAGTAAAATACCTAAGTAAAATAATTAAAAGGTATCTTAGGATAAAATTTAGTTGTGCACGTACATGTTTTAGACCTATTTTCATTTGCTATGGCTGCGGTTTTTGTTGGTTATTATAAAGTAATGTATTTTAAAGAAGACGTGCATTCAGAAAGTAATAAAATAAAGGATTTACAAATATGGGTATAGACAGCTTACCAAGGGACTGTTGAAATGCTGGGAGCACCGTTCAGTACTGTGGTCAGACTTGCTCACTGTGAGAGTTATGCTAGACTGGGATAAACTCCCCAACAGAGACACTGCAGAGACTGGCTCAAACCAGGTGGACGTCTGCTTCTCTAGTTTAACACCTCAGAGGTGGTGGGTGTCCAGGGCAGGTAGTAGCTCTGCCCTGTACGGTCACCTTTTCCCTGGCCTGTTCCTGTCTTAATCCTTCTGTCATTCCATAGAGGGTTCCTCTCACCTGCACGGTCGCTAGCTCCCCAGCACCTGTTCATGATCCAGCCCTGGGGAAGAAGGGGCGGGGACCCAGCTTCCATTCTAGGGATGTGAGTCAGGATCACACACAACCTACGGATTTACATCCCACTGGCCAGAATCCACGGGCCATGCCTAGCTGCAGGGGAGGCTGGGAAATGGCCTCTCTGACGAGGTGACACATATCCAGCTGAAGCTGGGGGGCACTGTAGTCCCAAAAGGAAGAAGGGGGTGTGGGTGTTAGGGGCACATAGAAGCTTCTCCAGCTCTCCTGGAAGCCTGTGCTAAGCCACGGGCCATTTTCTAATTCTGAACACACTTCAGTTTAGCTTTGGAAGGAGATCAGAACACTTGGGAATCGGAAAATGGTCCATTTAGTTTTGTATAAATGCTGTCTCCCTGTGACATGTTAAACTCTGTTTTGTTTCTCTGTTTTTGCTGTACTCCTGAACATCTGTCATTTCCACAAGATGTAAAGTGCCACCAGTGCTTTTTAAAAATCTATTTTCTTTTAAAATATGGCCAAAATAGAATAGCACACAGCCTGTCGCCAGGCTCCAGCTCTTCATCACCCTCAGTCCCCTTGCTTAGTCGGAGACTCTTACTTTAGTTGAGTAATTGGGGGGTTTCTGGTCCTTCGATTGTTGGTCAGGGGAAGCAGGGTGGCATAGTGGCAAACAGAGACTTGGAAATCCATCCATCCTGGGTTTGAATCCTGGCCCTTGTCACTGTCCACCTGTGTAGCATTTCTGATCTTAATTTTCTTTATCTATAAAATGGGTATAAAGTGGGAATACCAGTCCTGACTTTATTAGGGTTATTACAGGGTTAAGTGAACTATTGTATACAAAATACTTAGCCCACTGCCTGGCACATGATAGATACTCAATAAATACCGGTTATTGTTTGTACTCTCAGGATGAGCATGTTCTATTTAATTTTTTAAAGTAGTTTTAAGCTTTGTTATAATGAAGTCTTATTCCATTGCCAAAAATAGATGGAGATGTTATTGGGCCATTGCCACCAGAACCAGAGGTCATGCCAGCTCCTCATACAGCTGCCCAGAGTAGCAAAGTCGAAGTCATCGTTCAGGAGAGGAAGGATACCCGGCCTGGGGTGCCACACATCCGGGAGTGGGACAGAGGAAAAGGTAAGGGGGTCAGTTCTCCTGAACAGAGTGTGATTCTGGTGAGTCTTACTGGTCCTTGGAAGCTTAAGGAATTCTCCACATCGTTGAGCTTGTTTCTTCTCAATACCCAGGAGCATTAGACAGTGTGATTATAAAAGACCAGGGTCTACAAGGCGTCATGCCTAAAGGATGAGTTTCTTTTTTTTTTTTTTTTGAGAAGCACTTGGGGGAAGGTTTCTGAAATTCCCGCTGCCCCCATGTGGTCTTACAGCTTTGGGATGCTGTTTTTTTTTTGTTTTTTGTTTTTAATTTTTGGCTGCTTTGGGTCTTCATTGCTGCGCGGCTCTCTCAAGTTGCAGTGAGCGGGGTACTCTTCATTGCGGTGTATGGGCTTCTCATTGAAGTGGCTTCTCTTGTTGTGGAGCATGGGCTCTAGGCACGCGGGCTTCAGTAGTTGTGGCGCGTGGGCTCAGTAGTTGTGGCTCGCAGGATTTAGAGCGCAGGCTCAGTAGTTGTGGCGCATGGGCTTAGTTGCTTCGCGGCATGTGGGATCTTCCCGGACCAGGGCTGGAACCTGTGTCCCCTGCACTGGCAGGCGGATTCTTAACCACTGCGCCACCAGGGAAGCCCCTGGGATGCTGTTTTTCAGGAACCAGTTTTTAAAACCTTATGAAGGTTTGGTACTTTAATGTATTCCGTGTTTTTAGCAGTCTCTTTTATGTTCAGTTGAAAACAGTCTGTGTCCCAGTGTATTAACTCGGATTCACATATGGTTCCATTGGGTTATGCAGAATTGTCTGTAAATTTTTTCTGTAAATACATCACGGTCCCTACAGCAGCCTCTCTTTGGGAGAAGACTCTGGTTTATGTCTTTTTGAAAAAGATCATTTCAGTGGTACATTAGCGTGAATTGTTGGAACTGATGAGATCCACGACTAAAGTAAAAGATATGCAGATGGGTGAGTGCCTTTGGTTAGTGCTACTGTTAGAAATAGAGATGGAATACCAAGATAGATCTGGACAGGTGCCTTTTGTGTCTTCTAAAACTCAATAAAAGACAAAACTTGTGTTTTGCTATGAAGTACCTGTAACATTATGTCAAGCAAATGATTTAAGTGCTTGATTTTTTATGTTTGTCTCTCACATGCAATTTTAGTACTTTTTTGGCATTGTCTCTAGAGCCTGTCAGCCTTCTTTCTCCACAGAACCTTCCTTGAACCTTTCTCCACATGGAAGTTCTCACTCCTTTTTCTTGGCCTGGTTCCTTATCCTTTGTAGGCATCGCATATACCTTGTATTATAGTTCTGTTATTACTGTCCTTGTTCTCCAGAGAATTTAAGGTGGCTTTTAAGAAGTATATACAATAATTAAAAAGTAATAACAATAAACATTCAATGATTCAATCATCAGTTCTAATAATACTCTTTCTTATTTTTACTAGACTTTTCCTTTGGGTATTGGTTGAAGAGGCAATCAGATCTCCGGGCTGAGAGAGACCCTGAGTTTGCCCCACCATCGAATTACTTTGTGGACCAAAAAAGAACTGGTTCTCTGAGTAGCCAGGCATGGAACAGACCTGCACCTGCACAGAGTGACCCGGGGCAGCACCCTGGCCAGAGCCATGACCCCAGCTCTTCACATACATCATCCACTCCAGCCCCCAGCGGCCTACCACAAGCCCAGGCGGTCACTTTTGAAACTCTGGATGATATGATTTCATACTATAAACAAGTGACATGAACTTAAAAACACTATAACTTGGGTCTGTACTATTGATGGTGCCTTCCTCTCCCAGAGCAGAGAAAATAACTTAACTTTAGGGACTGAACTGTAACTTTCTCTTCCTGTCTTTTCCCTGAAGATCCAGACTTCAGGCTGTATTTGTCAGCAGGGAAGAAAGTGAATGGTACTGTGGGAACTCCGGCCACTTAGCTGTTCATTTCATTCTCATTGGTATGGAGATACCAGTTCATCTGGATTTACATGTGAGCTGAGGTAGAGTAAACATACTCTGTAATACTTGATACTAAGGTGTTTGCAATCCTGTCTGCTTCATACCCACTCCCAAGACTTATTCAGATTTAAGGGTTCCACTCCTTTCCTTTTGCCAGTACTAGCTTGTAGGTGTCTTTGTTCCAAGCATTCAGCTTCCAGGTCATTTGGTGGAGCATCTGTCAGGAAGAATTTTAGCCTGTCAAATGATGGCACATGAGGGTACACTGGGAGGCAAAGTGATCTAGTCTCCAGGAGGACCCTGACACTAATGGAGAATTAAGCATATCATTTGAAATGAACAGGAAGACCAGGGAGGACTTCACAGTCCAGAAAGGTAGACATTGACGTCACTTGCTCTTACTATCACTCCTTTTTGAGTGGCGATTATCACAGCCACGCTTAGTGGGCGTTCATTAAGTGTGTATTGAGTGATGGGCACATGTGGAGGTTGCTGGGCATGGTAAGAGCTGTGCTCCTTAGCCACCAGGGTTGGATTTTCATCTCCACCTGCCTCCCTGGTTCTCCCGCTCTGGGCCCTGATCTCTCTTGGGAGCTGAGTCATCTCAGCCTGGGTAGGATGGACTTGCGCTGGAGTGAGGGACAGCAAGGTCCTTTTGTCTTTACTAACAAGTGGGTGAGCAGAACTCCAGAAGGACTTCCTGTGCCTGAGTACCATTCCCGTCCTCTACCTACTACACCTCAGTGTTCTCTTCACAGCTGCAGACAAGCAGTAGAAGTTGACCGCCAGGTCCACAGGGCTGTTACAGCTGCCTCCCAGGCCAGTGAGTCTTGTAAGAAGGTGTTAGAGCAGGTCCTCAAAGCACCTGCTGGAGCCTGTGGTCTCTGTTCCCACAGCACAGTGGTGTTGATGGGAGCACAGAGAGGGTCCGTGACTAGTCACGTGATATCTAAGTGGCAGATTGTTTAGGTGCATGTTTGCTTCAGACTCATGTTTTCTTCAGCACCCTCTGCTCTCAGTCTTTTGCCCCAGTATGGATCAGTAATAGACAAAATTCCAAATTCTTGCAAACTTAACCTCTGAAGTCCAGATCAAGGGTGGAGTTGCGAGACCTATTAAATGGTCATTTTGTCAGCCTGATCAGGCAAATATCTCTCCTAACAAAAATGAAAACCAACTGACCCAGCTGCCTTTTTCTGCAGAAATTGACAAACTCATCCTAAAATTCATATGGAATTGTAAGGGACCCAGAATATCAAATATTCAAAACAATTTTGAATAAGAACAAAGTTGGGGGACTCACTTCCTGATTTCAAGACTTACTACAAAGCTACAGGGATCAAAACAATGTGGTCCTGGACTTCCCTGGTGGCACAGTGGTTAAGAATCCGCCTGCCAATGCAGGGGACATGGGTTCGAGCCCTGATCCGGGAAGATCCCACATGCCGCGGAGCAACTAAGCCTGTGCACCACAACTACTGAGTCTGCACTCTAGAGCCCGGGCCCCTAGAGCCCATGCTCTGCAACAAGAGAAGCCACCACAATGAGAAGCCTGCACACCACAACTAGAGAAAGCCTGCGTGCAGCAACGAAGACCTAACGCAGCCAAAAATATATAAATAAATAAATTTATAAAAAAAACAATGTGGTACTGACATATTGATAAATCACTGAAACAGAGTTGAGAGTCCAGAAATAAACCCATACATCTATGGTCACTTAATTTTTTGACGGTGCCAAAATCATCCAGTAGGGAAAGAACAGTCTTCTACAGATGGTTCTGAGACAGCTGACTCGCCACATGCAAAACAATGGACTTGGACTCATACGTCTCACCACATAAAAAACAAAAGCACCTCAAAATGGACCAAAGGCTTAAATGTAAAAGTGTAAAACCAACTGAAACAGCTTGTAGGACAAAAGGAGAGGAGACAAAAAGAAAAATTGGAATACTAAAAGGAAAAAACAATTATTAGATATCCTAGAATCATAAGGAAAAATAGAAGAAAAGAGAAGGTGAATAATAGACTAGAGAAAGATGGGAAGAGGTTGTGTTTATAAGGTAGAGCAGAAGGTCTCGAGAGGCATAGTGTAGAGAAGGGATGGGAAGACTAGGCAGGCAGCAACAAGCACATGAGTATAGGAGGCAGTGGTCACGGAAGGGGCCCCCAAATAACCTTTTGTCCTTGCCCAGGGCACCCACGTTGGACGGCAGAGCAGCCTGTGCATGCTGGCTCAGGGTCACTGTCGACTAATAACTGTAAGTTGGATATTCTCTAGGATTTCAAAGACTGTATAAGCCTTTTTCTAATCTCATTTTAACAGCATATGTTGAGTGTTTTATGAGCCCAGTTGTTTTATCCTCTTCCATTTCAGACTCAGGGTCCTTCAGCGTTAACACAATTCCAGTTTTAGTGTTTCTTGTGGGCCTGTTTTGTAGGAGTGTGTCCAGCAGATGGCACTGGAGTTCTTAGGCTGCAGACCCGTGCTCTGGTAGCACTGCCCAGTAGAAATGAGGTATAAGCTGTGTGTGTCAGTTTCAGTTTTCTAGGAACCACATTTAAAAAGTGAAATTAATTTTGTGGTATACAGTCATCCCTCTGTATGTGCCAGGACCTGCCATGGAAACCAAAATCCGTGGATGCTCAAGTTCCACAGGCGGCCCTCTGTACCCACAGTTCTGTATCTGGTTTCAACCAACTGTGGATCCTGTAGTGCTGTAGTAGTATTGAAAGATACGCGCATAAGTGGACCCTCACAGTTCAAACCCATGTTGTTCAAGGGTCAACTCTATTGAATCCAGTATATCCAAAATATTTCAACATTTAATCGATATACAAAACGTTTAATGGGATATTTTGCATTTCTTTTCACACCAAGTCTTCAAAATCTGTGTATCCACTTACAGCCCGTCTTAATTCAGATGCTAAATTTTCATGAGGAATACTTGATCTGTATTTAGATTTCATAAAATACATTTGAAAGTAGATTCACATACCCAGGTTCATCCAAACATACTGAAAACATTTAAGAGTTTGCCAATAACTGAATTATCAAGTTTTAAGTTTAATAAAATGTAGTTCCTTAGTCATACTACACCACATTTCAGATGCTCAAAAGACACAAGTCTAGTGCTACTGAATGCACAGCACAACTCTAAATGATCTGTTTTTACATGTTCTGTGGTCTGACTGTACATAACTCTCCTGTTAGTAACTAAAGGGTTGGCAAACACATCTCTTCCAAGCATACATTAAGCATTCACGCTACTCCTATGGCTTGTTTGACTTGGGAGCTAGCAGTGCTGAAATCTATCAGAAAGCATGACCACACCTCATTCGTGGCATTGTGGAGCTAAGCGAAATATTTTGGATCAGAAATTGCTTTGAATTATTTGTTTTCATTGTAATCTTTTCTCCAGGCCTTTGTGTGTTTTGATACAGTTCGTTTGAATTGGCTAAATAAATCATTTTGTTTGCTTGCAAAATTCCCAAAGGAGAAACTTTAAATCCATATACATGAGATTCCTGCTATGTTTAGCGGTGCATTTGCTGAAGACTTGTGGGATAATTTATTTCCTCTTAAAGCCATAGTGCAGCCTGGGAGATGGCTATCAGCTGACCTTTTTGTGACACACAGATGAGGCAGTAGAATTTAGAATTTGGAATGGAGTGGGTACTGGTCTTTACAGTTAATACAACACAGAGTAGCCACGCCATATGTGTTTAATTTTTTTTCAGCCAGTGAATTGAACTAAGTCAGTTATACGTCAGGCAGTTCCTGTAAAAAACTATATGGCTAAGGTAAGTCGTGATAATTGAAAAGAATTTGTTAACCTGCTGAAAACCATGAGAGAAAATGAAACTCCCGTGGTCCTGGCACCTGCCCTGCTGGTAGGTGGTGAGGCATTTGCTGGTGTGGACCCGGACATTGGCTTAACGTTCAGAGCATGTGTGGGGGGCAGGGCAGAGTGGGGAGAACGGTGGGATGGTGTAGATCATTGTCTAGGAAGATGGGAAAACCAGAACAATCGAAAGAATCAGGGTGTTTTAGTGAAAACCTGTCACCCAGGCTGAGTATTGATCTTCTGTTACCGTTTCTCGGTAAATCCCGGCTGTTCGTGTAACCATGCCCAGTAAATGTACGTCTGTCCAGTGATGGGAGTGGTCACAAATATTACTTGTTTTCTACCCTCCATTTAAACAGCATCTTTCCCCGCTACATTTCTAACTGCCATGTTCTCTCTAACTCTAAGCTCACCTGCTAGGTGGTGGTTTTGCCCCGTTGTAAAAAACTTTCCCTGGGGTACGATGTGTTCTGTTTCTATTTGGTCGTTATCAGCAAGTAAGCTTCCCTGAGCTTGAACACGGGTGTAGCTCTTGACCTCTCAGTCCCCACACCACTCCTCTCTGCACAGACAGTCTCGGTTGTTCAGGGTTGGTATGGAAACCAGGAAATACAAGAATGGGCCCTGCTCCCAGCCTAGGTCTCCCAGGTCACAAGCCTGTCTGAGAACATGCTGCTTTTTTTTCAGGGGCCCTCGTTTGTTGTCTTCTTTCCTAAAGTGTCATCTTTACCTTAAAACTGAAAGACTTTGTATCTCTGCTTCCAATTATGATCAGCATAGGTGTTTATGGGATGTGTAATCAATGTAGACCTACCATTTGTGTGGTTTTTTTTTAATTTAACATTTCTCAAAACTGAGCACAAGTTATTTTTTTGCTGCCTAATACTTCATATTAATCTGCATCGTTGTCAAACAGTTCCTCAGTTGTTGGCTGGCTACGTTATTTCACTGTTAGGAATGAAGTGGCTATAAGCATCTTTTTGTTTGGTTTGACCACATTTGAAGAACTATCTTCCCTCCTCCTTTTAAAACTGTTCCCTTGGGCATTACTTTCAGAACTAAAATCACTGGGTCAAAGCGTTGATCATTTTTTTGTCTCTCGATGGGTCTTGCCGGGAGACTCATCTTAATGGCCCTTTGGTGCCACAGTGGATCCCCCTGGTGGAGGATGCAGGTGGTTTGCAAGTGGATTCAACTCGAGGAAGAGCGGTGACTGAGGTTGCAGTCTCGAGAGCAAACCTTGCTGGGCAGCAGGCAGTTAAGCTTGATCATATGCACATGACCCCCCCTCTCCTTCCTCTCAGATCCACTCCTCTCCATAGCTCAGCCCTTCTTCCTCTCATCTGCTAGAGAATTCAAGCATCTGTCCAGAACGTTCTTTATATATTGAATGGAGAGGACAGCGTCTATTAGTTTTTCTAATTCCATTTCCATGTCTTTCGTGCATCAGGTGCGGGCTTGTTCTCTTGCCTGTCCCAGCCTGAAGCTGCACTTACTCACAGATGGCAGTCACATGGTTACATCTGGCCTGCTCACTGTCCTTACCAAAAGCGTTCTGGTTAAAACCAGAGAGAGCCGGAGACTAGAGAAAATAGCAAAGAAAATCAGGACCAGATTACTTGAGGGAGCACAGTTTAATTTTGGTTTTAAATATACAGCTGGATACAACTTCTACCCAAAAATGGATTCTTGAATCAGTGCCAGTACGAGAAGGAAGCATGCCCTTTTCTCTTTTTCAAAGCCATGCCTGAATTTCCCCCTCAGCTTCCTTCTTCGTTGGGTGCCCTTGATTTTCCCAAAGCCTGTTTAGAACTTTCCCACTTTTCACCCTTGTTCTGCTTGCGCCCCACGGTGTACCCCTGGGAGTTTGCTGGGTCTGTGCCTTTTGAAGTACTCTTTCAGGTGCATGGGCTGGAAATTGCTTTTTTACTGTAGGCAGAAATTGGGGTGCTGTGGGTACAGCTCTCCTCCTTGGCTAATCCCACTGCAGTCGTATTTCTCACACTCCTTCCCACCACACTGCTGGCCCGTGGGAGGAGCGCCCTACAATATAGATGCCACCTCTGCTAGCAGTCCTGTGGTTTCCCATCTGCAAGATGAAGTCAGGGTTCAGCGGTTTACACCAGCTCTTCTCAGCAGGCTGCTGCCCACCCCTCCCACACATCCCCCCGCCCCCCCAAGTAACATGTAGCATCCTCAGGTTACTTGCAGTTCCCCAAACTTGCCAGGCAATTTAGAGCCTCCAACCTGAGCAAGCACTGTTCTCATCACCTGGAGTGTTCTTCCTGTCCTTGTTCACTAGTCACCTACTTCTGAACCAGTTTCTGTCATTTCCATTGCACAGCCTTCTTCAACCACTTCAAATGATTATCTTTTTCTGCTTAGCATTCATTGAGCACTTACCTCTTTTAGGCATTGTGCCATTCCTTAACACATATGCCCTCATTTAGTCCTTACAGTCCTGGGAGGCAGGGCCTAGTGTCCACTAGTGCGAGGCTCGAGGTCACATGGCCTGAGTTCTTAGCCGCCCGGTGACACTGCCTTTTCTGGATTTCCCTCTGCCTGGCAGAGAGCACTCAGACTTGGCATAGTAGCCTGTGTGCGTGTGCACTCCTCCCCTCATCTCTGTCCTGCCCTCAAGAGGAGACAGCCCGCAAAACTTTGAAGATGTTGGAATGAGAGTCGTCATTTTTCATATCCTTTATAAACTTCTTCCACACTCTTTTTATTTCTTTGTGGGAATTGTTAATTGAAACTTTGTTTATAGCCATCTACATGGGCCTATTGGGCTATCTGTCGGATTTTCATGCTATAAGTATTTTTCACTTTCTGGCATGTGGCAGCTTACTTGGTGTCTTAGTGTCGTGGAGGCTGTAAAAGGGGGAGAAGACGTGATGCTTGCCCTCTGTTTGCAGAGACCACATGAGATGCAACTAGCAATTAAAGATGATACATTGAGTACTTTCACTGAGTATATGATTACATAGCATGCAAATTCTTTGGCATGGCATGCAAGGCCCTTCACGATTTGATTCTAGACACTTTTCCAGCTTTGTCTGCTACTTTCCCATAGAGCCCCAAGGCCCCAACCATACTGATGTGTTTTGTGGTTCCCTGAACCTGCCATGCTTTAAATGTCTCTGTTCCTTTGCACATACTCTTCTTTTTACCAAGAATGCCTTCTCCCTCCTACCTGCCTGGTGACTTCTTATTCATCTTCTATGACAGCCTTCAGTGCAGCTTCCTTTAGACTTTTGGCTTTGGGTTTTCATGGCCTTTGTACATTTTTTTGGCAATGTGACCCTTATATCAATTTTGTAAGTCTGTTTTGCCTGTTGAACATTGAGCTACTTGAGGGCAAGGCCTGTGTCTCAGTGATGGAAAAATGGACGAGTGACAATGAAAATTAGATATATGGAAAGGAGGGAGTGATGCTGTTCCCACACGGCTGGTTGTCTGTCAGGAATCACATTTGGCTGCAGGAACAGAGATCTGAATAAAGGGACTTAAAGAGATGAGGGGTTCGTTCTCTCAGGTGAAACAAATTTGGAGGCAGGTGGTTAAGTGCCGGTGTGTGGGTGCCACAATGTCAGCAGGAGTCCAGGCTCTGTGCCTCTGCTCTGCCACCTTTCATGCATGGCTTCCCTCCTCAAGGTAACCTCATGGCTCCATATGGCTGCCAGAGTTACAGCCATCTCATCTATTCCAGACAAGAAGAAAGAGAAGGGCAGTGAGTAAAGAAAAAGTGTTCTCTCCATGCAGACAGACTTCTTGAAAAGATATCCAGGATCCCACCCAACAGCTCCACCTGCATCTCATAGGCCAGAATGGAGTCACGTGGTCACCTCTAGCTGAGTTTTGCAGAGATAAATACATGGTAACAAATAGAGGTTATTTGTGCGTTTAATTTAAAATGACATTTCTTTTCAAAAAAAAAAACAGTTGTTCAATCTGAAAAGACTTTTCTCCAAAGAAGATATAAAAGTGGAAAAGTGGCCAATAAACACGTGAAAAGGTGCTCAACATCATTAGTCGTTAGGGAAGTGCAAATCAAAAACACAATGAAGTATCACTTCACACCCTCTAGGATGGCACTAAAATCAAAAAGACATAATAACAAGTGTTGACAAGGACATGGAGAAATTTAAAACCTCATACATTACAGGTTTTGTAAAAAGAACTGTAGAATGGTGCAGCTACTTTGGAAACCAGCCTGGTAGTTCCCGAAAATGTTAAACATTGAGTTATCATACGACCCAGCAATTCTATTCCTGGGTATCAACCCAAGAGAATGAAAGCATCCATTCACAGAAAAACTTGTACCTGAATGTCCCATCGTAATAGCCAAAAAGTGGAAACAACCGAAGTGTCCAAACAATACTGAATGGATCAACAAATGGTGGTCTTTCCATATAATGAAGTATATGAGTGAAGTACTGATACATGCTGTAACTTGGATGAACCTCAAAAACATAATGGTAAAAGAAGCCAGTCACAAAAGACCACATAGTGTGTGATTCCATTTATATGAAATGTCCAGAACAGGCAGATATATAGAGGCACACAGCAGATTAGTCGTTGCCTGGGGGGAGGAGGAATGGAGAGTGAGTACTAATGGGTTTTTTTGGGGGGGTGATAAAAATGTTCTAAAATTAGATAGTGGTGATGGTTGCACAACTGTGACTATACTAAAAACCATTGTACACTTTAAAAAGGGTGAATTGTATGGTATGTGAATTACATCTCAATAAAGCTGTTTTAAAACCCAGCTTTTATCTGTTTGTAAGGCATATCTTCAAAATTAACCTCACAAGAAAGGAACTGGTAGGGGGTGGGGTGGGGTTCCTCAAACCAGTTAACATTTAAAGGATTGTATTCGTCTTCTCTTCATTTGAATCCTGGCTTTAAAACAGATCTGCCCTGCATGGTCAGGGTCAGATCCCTCTGGCTGGTTGCCCAGATGACCAAGATTCTGAGTGGTCTCTTTGTTCTGTAGACTTATCATTTCAAAAACGAACCTATTTTTCTGAGTCTCCAAAGCTGAGGAATAGAGATGCCAGGGAGTTAGCAAATAGATGTAGAAAGCCAGTTTATCTGCAAACCAGCAGAACGTCTGAAGGGGTTGCTCTGTGGGACTCTTGTTCCTAGGAGATTTTTTTGCTGGTGGATGGGCAGTTCAGTTGGAAGCCCGTGAGGAAGTCGTGTTGTCTTTGGAAAGGTCTCTATGCCAAGAGTCTGCAGGCAGGCAACTGGTGACCAAGAGCTCTGTCTCTATAAGCCTTCGATTCCTCATCAGTGAAACCAGAAAGATAATAGCCTTTTCACACCAGGGCAGCCGCACTGTAAATGCTGAGGGTATGCACCAGCGGTGCAGTTCTGGAATGGCAAATTTGGGGTGGCTCCAGAGGACACAGTTTGAAGAGTGAAAGAATGAGGATTGTCTGGCAGGAGAAGAGGGCCATGGACGTCATGGGGAGTGGTTGTCAGGATGGTTGTCATGGGGAGTGGTTGTCAGGTAGAACTGATGACTGGAAGGCTGCGGTAGCAGGAGTTGTCAGAAGTTCTAGATTTGAGGAGATGTGGTAAACGATATTAGTCGTTGGACTAAAAAAATTCATCATCCTCCTTTCTCATTCGCCCTTGGATGTACATGTTGAATCCAGGCCCATCCTTGCGTTGCAACCAGGAGCTTCCATCCACATCACCTACCCCCAGAAGGAACCAATGAAACATCTTTTTGTTTTTGCAGGTTTTTATTGAGAGACCACAAGCAGATCTTCCACCCTCAGACCTCTGACTACAAAAGGTGCGATGGAACATTTTCCCCTTCCCCATCCTTTTCCTTACTCCAGCCCAGGGTCTGTTTGGGGAACCTGCTCATCCCCAGGCCCCTCCCAAAGTGACTCACTAACGTGGTCTCTGACGCATCCCCAGGAAGGGAAGTGGGGTGACGGGGGGGCATCCCTTTGTGGGAGAGAGTGACCAATTATTTATCCTCCCGCATAGGATGCCCTGGCTTAATGACCTGTAAGGGCCATTTCAGCACTTCCATTCCATCTGTCCCCAAGGCCTCACCTTAGGTGAGAACTTTGGCTCTCATTCAGCTCTCAGGGTGTCTGCCTCCTCACAGCTGAAGGTCCTTCTTGTCTGAGATGGACAGTATTACCTAGTAGTATGCGTGCTCTAGGACCATGAATGACATCAAGACTAACCGAGAACTATACCAGCAATGCACCGCCATGGACCCCAAGTTGCTGGCCCGCATCTTCAGGCTGCTCATCGTCTGCCAGGGTGCAGGCATTTCTGTACCCAAGGGCATCAGAAACATCTTTGAGTTTACCTGGGAGGAGCTGATCACTGACCCCATGATCCCTACCCCTTCTGAGATCCTGGGCCTGGAGATCAGCATTGGAGCCCCGCTCGTGGTGCTTATGGAACCGGCCCCTGTGCAGGCCTCTGTCCAGAACAAGCCACCTTCGCCAGTGCTACCACTGCTGTTGCTGCCCGCTTCCACTGGGCCGGCCAAATTCTCCACACACTCTCCTACCCACGGCCAACGGGGCCATCCAGCCAGGAGACCCTGCACAGGTTCCAGAGGCAGTCTATCCACCTATTGACCGAGCTCCTTACCCTGAAGATGAAGGCCACGCTGGAGTCCATGTCCAGTAAGTCAGCGAAGTCTGGCTCACCGGATCCTGGCTCATTTTTCTAGGCCTGGAAGGGTCTGGCCTGGGCATGTGTGTATGTATCCACTGCACCCACCCCAGACAGGTCTACAAGAATGCGCCGTGAAAAGGTGGCAGCCAAGGGTCAGCTTTGCAACTCAGCTCCTTCCTGAGACCACCCCCGAGAATCATCCTTTCACCCCTCTCCGTTCTCCATTTTGTCCTCCCATCCCTCCAGCTTTGCTGAGCCCAGGTTGAGACGTTGGCCATGAGAACAGTGTGAGGTGTTGAAAGGGGGAGTTTGTGGAAATGATGCCAAGGTAGAGAGAGGCAGCACCCAGGAGGAGGGGGTAAATCGGGAGGGCCAGTTGGTGGGTAGCAAGACAGAGCCAAGCAGAGCCAGAACCAGGAGAGTCGTGAGAACTGGGAGAACACCGTAGAAGAGAACTTTAAAGATTTCTCTTAATTACTCTGAGCCTTCTCCAGCATTAAAAAATCTTTTTCTTCCAGATATTTGTTGTTTTGTAACAACAGGGCACTTTAGAATATCTGGTCTACCATACAACTAGGACAAAAACTTCATTATTATACTTTTGATTAAAAAAATTAAAATAAAAAAATTGAAAGCAGAATCCCATCTGTTCCACTCCAGATTCTTCCACAAACATCCCAGCCATGGGAGTGAACTCACCTTACCAGCTTGTCTACGAGTCCTCTACTGGCTGTCTGAGCTTTTCCCTCTCAACCGGAAGGGAAGTCAAGAAAAAACAGGTAACAGTGATTCCCAGCAAGACCTTTTGACCTACCTTTGGTGGTGGGGGTGGGATGGGGAGGGGGATAGAAGATTTCCTGTGTAGGTTGATGAGATGATTTGATTTGGTTTTCTGATAGGAAGGATATATAGCTGCCCTGGCCGGAGACCCAGCAGCTATTGACAGATTCTGTCCCATAAAAGGTGACATATCTCAACCAAGTCACTCTACTTTGCAGTCTCATCGTTTGAATGTTTACAAGTGCTCCATTTCTGTTAATGCGGTTCCTCTCACCTGGGGCAACACCCCTAGCAAACCCACATCTTCCACCTCCTATGTTATCCCATACTCACCCCCTCTTCTCAGAGAGAGACCTATGTTACCCATACTCACCCAGCAAGTGGGGGAACCAGTACCTGAACGGACGTATTTGGATACCAAGCCTAACCGTGTGTCCCCAGCTGGGTCAGTTTATGTGGGCAGAAAACAGACATAGAGGCCATTTCTATTCTATTGCAGAAAACACAGAGCAGAAGGAAAGGCTTAAAGGAAAGAACTGGTGGCAGGTGAGACCAAACAGGGTAGCAGTGACTGTGCAGCCAGAGCTTGGAGGAGAGATGAGTTGGGGCTGGAGAGGGCAGAGAAGGAACTTTCTCTCGTGGAACTTCCAGGGCCCCCAAGGCTGTGGTGGTAGAGTGGTGGGGTAGGGGAGGGACTGTATTCGCAAAGTGGTGGTGGGAGGATCCACAGAAGTTTGGGATGCTCAAAGACTGTCCAGTGATTCCCACAGACACTGGAGGTAAGGCTAGAAGTTGAGAAGCTTGGATTTTATTCCTGAGCCCACCTCGGGTTGCTATGAGATTTGCCTTCTTCCAGGCCTCACTCTCCATATCAAGTTGATCCTGTAGCCTTTCAGTCAGTGAACAAATGTTTATTGAACAATTGCTAGTTGTCAGTCACTGTTCTTTTTTTTGGTACACGGGCCTCTCACTGTTGTGGCCTCTCCCGTTGCGGAGCACAGGCTCCGGACGCACAGGCTCAGCGGCCATGGCTCATGGGACCAGCCGCTCCGCGGCATGTGGGATCTTCCTGGACCGGGGCACGAACCCGTGTCCCCTGCATCGGCAGGCGGACTCTCAACCACTGCACCACCAGGGAAGCCCCAGTCACTGTTCTGAATGCTGTGGGTACATGTGTGGATTTTAAGACAAGGAACACCTTCCCTGATGGAGGTGACATCCTCAGACTCTTGTTTCCCCTGTTCCTTTACCTCTCATGACACATTTTCTGTCACTGTGAGCATCACTTCCAGCATCCCTCTTTATATGCTCCTGGTTTATCATATCTCCTCCTGAGCTGGCCCTAAATCAATGCAGTCACTTTGAGGGGAAACAAAGTATCCTCAGGACACCCAGTGATTTCATGATTTTTCTTCCTAATGACCTCAGGGGTGATGCCTTGAGTAAGGTTGTTCCAAAACAAAAGTTACATGTCTGTTGGTCTCTTTGTCTATGTGGCTGTTTTCCTCTGCCACCCAAGGATGTGATTACCCCATGATGTTGCATCATTCTCACTAGGACGTTCAACGCTGCTGCATTTCTTATAGGTTCCTGATACTGTTTAGAAATTATTCTCACACATGTGTGCTAGGATGGGTGGTTAACCTTCCCTAATAGTTTATAAGTAACCGTGTGTCCTAGCTTGCCCAGGAAAGTCCCAGTTTATGCTGTTGTCCTGGCATAACTATTAATTATACCCACTTTCACTCCAAAGTACCCTAGCTTAAAGAACATATTGTAGAGTCGTTGTGGTTTTAAGTCACTTTGGGTTTGGGACCTCTGCTATCTGTTCCATGTACACGTGCTGTCACACCTTGCCAACTGGCCCCCTTTGCAGTTCTAGGGTCATGCAGACTTGGAGCAGACAGGCTCCAGGAGTTGGACCTACTCCCTGAGCAGACAACAGCTATTTCTGGAGCACAGCCCAACTTTACAGGCAGAGAATTGAGAGAAATCTGTCAACAGTGGTTCCTGGTTGTCATACTTGGGGACCCAAAGCAACTAGAGGCAGGCCAGAAATGGATGCTCAAGCCAGCAGATGTTCCAGGAGGTCAGCCAGCAGGTAGGTGGGCCTCAGGGTCAAGTCTCTGGTCTCATGGCTGGAGGAGTCAGGAAAGGGACCAGGAACCACTGAAGGTGACAGATATCAGACATGGTACCCAAGCAGCAACCAGAAACCTCGAGGCTTGGCTGACAGTGAGAAAATCTCCATTCTGAGGCCTTCAGGGCTCAGTTGGAGCCTAAGCAATGCCCCTGGCCTGAAGACTCATTTTATTTTTGAGTCCAAGGTGAAGATGAGCCTACATATATCAAGGAAGAGCATGTGGCTCCAGCTGAGTAGGCAGCAGAGGCTCAGAAGCAGGCAGGACCTGAATAGATGCTTCTGGAAATTCAGCCATGGATGATCACCTCCACAATTTTATGTCATCATATCCTCATACCACCTAAGACTTGCCATGGGGGATAACTGTGAAAATAATGGAAATAAGCACAAAACATTGCCACCACAGATTTGAGCAGGCAGAAGAAAGAATCAGCTCGAAGACAGGACAATGGAAATTATTGAGTCTGAAGAACAGAAAGAAAAGAGATTGAAGAAAAATGAACAGAGCCTAAGGGAACTGTGGGACACCATCAAGTGGCATATGCATGTGGGAGTCCCAGAAGAGGAAGAGAGATCAAAAGAGGCAGAGAGAATATTTAAGAAATAATGGCTGAAATTTTCCCAAATTTGATGCAAGACATGAATATAAACATCAGAGAAACTCAGCAGGCTCCCAGAAAGATGAACTCAGAGAAACCCACACCAAGACACATTAATCGTCAAACTTTCAAAAGACAAAGACGAAAAGAGAATCTTGAAAGCAGTAAGAGAGAAGTGAATCCTCACATACAATGAATTTCAATAAGATCATTAGCAGGTTTCTCATCAGAATTTGGAGGATACAAGGTACAGGGCAAATACATTCAAAATGCTTAAAGAAAAAACCTGTCAGCTAAGAATCAATCCTGAATTCAGGAAAACTGTGCTTCAAAACTGAGCAAGAAATTAAGACATACAAAACCTGAGGCAGTTCATGACAACTAAATCTGTGCTGCAGGAAGTGCTGAAGGGAGTCCTGCAAGGTGAAATGAAAGGACACTAGAGAGAACCACAAAGCTATATGGAGAAATAAAGACCTCAATAAAGGTAATACATAGGAAAGAATAAAAGCTAGTATTATTGTAACAGCAGTTTGTAACTGCACTTTTTGTTTTTCTACATGATTTAAGAGACTAATATATTTAAAGAAAAAAATTAGTGTAAAAGCCAGTATTACTGTTAACTTTGGTTTGTAGCTCCAAATCTTAGTTTCTACATAATTTGAAAGATTTAAAAGAAATGTTAATTTATGTTTTGGGACATACGATATAAAAAGATGTAATTTTTAGGACATTAACAACTGACAGTGATGGGGATGATGCTGTAAAGGAGGAGAGTTTTTGTACGTTATTGAAGTTTTGTACGTTATTGAAGTTGTAATCCCCATGGTAACCACAAAGAAAATAACTACAATATACAGAAAAGGAAATGAGAAATTTTAAAATTTCACTACAAAAAATTAAAACAAATTAAGACAGTAATGCAGGATATGAAGAACAAAAACTCTAATAAGGCATATAGAAAATAAAAAACACAGTAACAGAAGCAAGTCCCTCCTTATCAGTAATTCCTTTAAATGTAAATTGGCTAAATTTTGTAATCAAAAGACTGAGATTGGGAGAATGAATAGCAACTCATGATCCAACTATACGCTATAAGAGACTCACTTGAGATCCAGAGACACAATTGGGTTTGAATGTGAAAATATGGAAAAAGATATTCCATGCAAATAGTAACCAAAGGAGAGCAGGGGTGACTATACTAATATCAGATAAAATAGACTTTAAATTTAAAAAGATTACAAGAGACAAAGAAGGACATTCTATAATAATAAAATTTCAATACAGTAAGAAGATACAACAGTTATAAACATTTATGCACCTAATGACAGGCTGTCAAAATATATGAAGCAAAACCTGACCAGTTGAAGACAAGTAGTTCTACAGTAATAGTGGGAGACATCAATAACCCACTCACAATAATGGATAGAATAACAGACAGAAGTAAGAAAATAAAAAACAACACAATAAATCAACTAGATCTAACAGACACATGCAGAACACAAACAAAACAACAAAAACAGTGCACATTCTTTTCAAGTGTACATGGGACATTTCTAGGATAGATCATATGTTAGGCCACAAATTAAGTCTCAGTAGATTAAAAGAAATAGATTTCACTCAAAGTATCTTATCTTACCACAATGGGATGAAGTTAGAAATCAGTAACAGAAGGAAAACTGGAACATTTACAAAATTGTGGAAATTAAATAACACACACCTAATCAATGGATCAAAGAAGAAATTACAAGGAAAACTATAAAATACTAGAGACAAATGAAAATGAAAACAGCGGGCTTCCCTGGTGGCACAGTGGTTGAGAGTCCACCTGCCGATGCAGGGGACACAGGTTCGTGCCCCGGTCTGGGAAGATCCCACATGCTGTGGAGTGGCTAGGCCCGTGAGCCATGGCCGCTGAGCCTGCGTGTCCAGAGCCTGTGCTCCGCAACGGGAGAGGCCACAACAGGGAGAGGCCCATGTACTGCAAAAAAAAAAAAAAAAAGAAAATGAAAACAGCATACCAAAACTTATGGGGTACAATGAAAGCAATGCTAAGGGGAAAATTTATAGCTATTAATGCTTACATTAAAAGGCAAGAAAGATCTCAAGTAAACAACCTAACTTTACAACTTAAGGAACTTTAAACTAAACCCAAAGCTAGAGAAGGAAGGAAATAAAGGTTAGAGCAGAGATAAACTAAATAGACAATATAAAAACAACAGAAAATCAATGAAACCAAAAGTTGATGCTTCAGAAAGATCAACACAATTGACAAATCTTTAGCTAGATGGACTAAGAAAAAAAGAAAGGAGACTCAAATTCCTAAAATCAGAATTGAAAATGGGACACAACTACTGATTCTACAGAAATAAAAGGGATTATCAGAGAGTACTATGAACAACTAACTGTATGCCAACAAATTGGATAACCTACATGAAGTGGACAGGTTCCTAAAACACAAAACCTACTTAGTCTAAATCATGAAGAAATAGAAAATTTGAACTAGACCTATAAATAGTAAGAGATTGAATCAGTTATCAAAAATCTCCCAACAAAGAAAATCCCTGGACCTGATAACTTCAGTGATGAATTCTCCCAAACATTTAAAGAAGAATTAATGCCAATTGTTCTAAAATTTTTCCCCAAAATTGAAGAGGGAACACTTCCCAACTCATTCTCTGAGGCCAGTATTGCCCTGATATTGGAGCCAAAGACACTAGAAGAAGACTACAGACTAATATACCTGATGAACATTGATGCAAAATTCCTTAGCAAAATATTAGCAAACAGAATTCGGCAGCATAATAAAAGGATTATACAACATGACACTAAACAGGATTTATTCCTGGAATGCAAGCATGGTTCAACATATAAAACTCAATCATTGGAACTTCTCTGGTGGTCCAGTGGTTGACTCCATGCTGCCAATGCAGGGGGCCCTGGTTCGAACCCTGTTCAGGGAACTAGATCCCACGTGCCTCAACTAAAAGATCCCGCATGCTGCAATGAAGATCCCGAGTGCCACAACCAAGACCTGGCACAACCAAATAAATAAATATTTTAAAAAATTGAAAAGAAAGATTTGGTCTATACCTATAATGGAATATTATGTAGCCTTAAAAAGGAAGGGAATTCTGCAATATGTTATAACATGGGTGAAACATGAGGACATTATGCTACATGAAACAAACCAGTCACAAAAAAGACAAATACTGTATGATTCCACTTATAGGAGGTACTTAGAGTAGTCAAAATCATAAAGATAGAAAGTAGATTGGCAGTTGCCAGGGGCTGGGGGTAGGGGAGAATGGGGGGGGTGTTGTTACAGAGTTTCAATTTTATAAGATAAAAAGAGTTACGGGAATAGATGGTGATAACGGTTGCACAACACTGTGAATCTATTTAATACCACTGAACTTGCCTCTTAAAATTTAAGTCGGTAAATTTTTGTTATACGTATTTTACCACAAGCACACACAAAAGCCCGCAAAACATCACAGTCTTGAGTCTCAGCTGATATACTCTGCCCTCTGCCGAAGGCCGAGGTAAGCCAGCATCAGAGAAGTGTTGAAGCCCTTGAGCCATTGAGCCATTGAGATGGAGCTGGGACTTTTTGTCTTAAGTCAGAAGTGTCACAAGGGAATCCCTTCTGCATCCACCACAGCCATGTGTGTGCTCTCTCTACCCAGGACCAGGCCGCCCTTGGGGAAATGTGGCTGGATTCACCACTCTGCATGAGTGTTCCTGACACACACTTGGTTGACTCACAGAGCACCGCCTCTGTTTCATAAGTGACCTGCTGGGGATTCTTATCCCTGGAAGCATAAATGATTCCCACAGTTATTTTGATTCTCAAGGGATGCAGCTGTCCTGCTCTCCCCGCCCCCTCACCCCAGGTGAACATGACGTCTTGAGAAACCATTTTCTAAAACCCTCCCTAACCTGTTCATCTCCAGCTACAGGCAAACCCCCAAATTTGGAAGAAGTAGTCTTGACATCCCCACAACGAGGAGCAGGAACCTCTGCCTCTGAGGTTATCGAGTTCAGCGACCCCTGCCCGGACGCCCGGGAGAAGCTGCAGGAGATGTGTCGCATTGTGTGAGCACCTTAGTGGTTGGGGGTGTATGGGAGAGGAGGGCACAGCCTGTGTGTGCGTGGAGGGGGATCACGGACGTGTTGGCTACCCAGTGCCCCCAGCCACAGTGACAGGGTGATAGTTGTCCCTCACACACAGGTCCCTAGTCCTTCCACAATCACAGTCATTTTCAGTCCTACTATGACCTTATGAGGAAGGCAGGTTTATTCCCGTTTTACAGATGAGGAAACTGAGGTACCCCAAGCACATGGTAAGGCATTGTCTGAGGTCCCACAGCTCAATGGGCCTGTCCCAGGGCAATGTTCTTTGCCTCCTCACCAGTGAGACCCCTTTGCATGGCTTCTTAAAGTTTACACACCCTTACAGTTAAGAATGTTTATTATTGACATAATTTGTCAGATGTTCTCTTAGAAAAAAAGGAACAGCTCTCAAAACAAAAAACACTGACATGGGTGATTAATGGTATTTATGATTTTGTGTGTCCCACAAGTCCTAGCAAGTGAATCTGCGTTCCTCCAAAGGCCTGGACCATGGGCCATAAAGGATTTCAAACCTAGTTACATCTAAGCATATATGTGTCCTGGGGCTCACAGGCCACTGTCACTGCAGCTGTAGAATATGCGTAGAGGGCAGCCACCCAGTTTGCTCCTTACTGTGACATTCCAGAAGGAAGCTGTCTTCCTTTGTAAGCTCAGGATTGAGAGGTGATCAAAGCCTCCAGCTCTGCCACCCCGTTCCACACGCAGCTCCACTCCATGGGTCCCCACTCCTGTGCAAAAGGTGGAAATCAGGCCAGGGCCAGTCTCAAAGGGGTATGGGGACCTTCCCAGTTCTTCCTAAAAACATTCTGTAAGGATGAGGGGTTGGGGTAGGGACAGATACTTTGGGGACAGGGAAATGGAATGGGAGTCTGGGGAGCTGGGGAGGGGCTGTAGAGAGCCTGGTGAGTGAGAGGCAAGTGGCTAGAAAATATGTTGGTCTCCTTCCCTGCAGAGAAGCCGAAAGGGTCTCGTGGAAAGGGAGGAATATCTTCTACCCATGATCTTACGCAACTACAGGGCAAAGATGCCCCCTCATCTAATGTCTACCCCCAAAGGGGATGCTCAGATCCCAAGCTCCCACCATCTGCACCCTCCAGGTGCTCAGACTTCCACTCCCACCCCTCACCAACCTCCTGCCCATCATCTTCACTTGGACCGGCATTCTCAGGAATGGAAGGCACCCAAGAAGGCCATCAAGTTGCATTACACCTTCTATGATGGGTCGTTCTTCGTTTAGTATCCTTTTATTTGGTGCTTCCCTTTCTCCCCAGCAGCTCAGCCCAGAGAACTCCAGCCTTTGACAAAGCCAGAGTGTTTCCTTTGGCTTTTCATTTGGTCAGAGAAGTCTGGTGACGGGTCCTCTGGGATATTAAGAGTTTGTTCAGGTCAGAGAAGAAGTACCAAGAGTCAAGCCTCAAATTCAGTCCTGATCAACCAGTACGTACTGAACCCAACTATCTGTGATTACGTGTCAGTGCGGGCTGGGGGTGCAGCAGCAGTCCCTGCCTTCGAGGCTCTCCCAGGTGGGAAGAGATTGGAGACACAGAACAATTCATCTCTAGCCGAGAGAAGGTGATAGGAGACCCTCCATCCTGGGGGGGGGGCGGTCTTTGTCCTTCTGTCCCAGGCTCAATGGGTGAGTACTGTGGTTCTTGCGTACTTTGCCCCCAAGATCCATGTATTTGGAGTCTAACCCGCACTGCACATACCCCACCTGGCACATGCTCGGGTTGATCTGCAGCTGAGGTCTGGCGGTATTCATGAGAATGTGGGCAGCTGGGTCCCAACCTTGGGGTGTGTGAGTGGCACAAGGGGACACATTTTCTCGTTGAGAATCTGGTGAAAGCTATAGACCCTCTTCCCAGAAATATGAACTGATACACATGCATGTAAAACATTTCCTGTGATTGCAGGGGGTCTGCAGACCTTCAAAGCTTGTCCATGCACCAAGAACCCTAGACTGAGGAAAACTAAGATTTCTAACATGCAGGGTAAAGGCTGAGAGTTATGCATATTTTAGCATGAATGGCGTCAGGTTGCTTTCTTCATTCACAGATGTTTATCGAGTATTATATGCAATGATTAATGGAATGGAGTGAATGTACCACTTTACCTTAGAGGGAGGTGGCTCTCTGAGCCGTCTCAACAGGCGGCTCGGCAGGCCTTTCTGGCCATGGCCCCCCTCGCTTCCTTTGGCCTCCTCTCCACTGACTGGGAATTCAGAATTGCAGTGCCTGTCAAAGGAGTCCTATGGTTTCTCTGACCATAAATGAGTGCATTCATTACCCTCTGCTCAGCCCTGCTTCCAGGGCACCTTGTGCATTGAACTCAGCACACACCTTCCCAGGCAGCTGCTGCTCACGGGGGGCATGGGGCTCCCTCTCCCCCCTTTTCTTCCTCAACACTGCATTGAATGGGACCATCACCCTGAACTCGTGAAGCTGTGTCCGTGAATTAGGTTGCTATTGGCAGGACCAGAGAGGGGTGGACAAGTGTAGATCAGGGGATCAAGGTACTGCAGACCAGCCTGCTGGGATCCATGTTCCCTTCCCTGCCACAGAATCCCAAGGACCCCCTGCTGGGACCACCCGAGACCTCAGGCCATCGATGCTGGTGCGCTTGACTCAGACCCCAGTGATCTTGGTCATTAATGTATTTCTGCTGTGGGAGTCCCAAGAGGCCTGGATTCTAGGCCCAGTTCTTCTTGGTGACCCTGCATAAGCCATTCCATCTCTCTGGGCCTCACTTCTCTCCATTATAAGGTGAGAAAGTTGGACCCAGTGATCTTGAAGGACAGCATCTGCGTTACTGTGATCAAATGGCCAAAACACACGTGCAGGTGTTGGATCCCTCTGGATTAGAGAAAATGTTTGGGAGACACTTCCCTCCCTCATGGGTTCCACAGAACCCTGGACTTGGCAGCTAATTCTGTCTTCACGGAGACTGCTGGGCAAAACTTTCAGGTAGAAGTGATGTGTCTGCCCTTGGATTGCCAAAAAGCTCCAAGCCCCAGTGGGTTTGCACTGGTCAGTGTCAGACCCCAGAACCATCCCCGGCATCGCTTTCATTTGGGCTGTCAGCATCTCCTTGGACCTCTCTCCTCAATGGCTGAGTCTCCTGTCAAACTTCCCTCAAGCCCTTTTTTCATACAAAGATACAACTCACCACATTAAAAACAAACCATAATCACCATGTGCCCAGTACTGTGCTAAGTGCTGTTCCTTTAGGGATTTGTTGAGCACTCAGAACTGCTGTGTGAGGTGCACATTTTTTTTAATATGTAAAATGCACATAACATTTACCATTTTAAGCATTTTGAAGTGTACAATTCAGTGGCATTCATAGTGTTGTACAACCATCACGACTATCTAGTTTCCAGCACTTTTTCATCACCTCAGAAGGAAACCCTGTACCTAATAAGCAGTCACTCCCCATTTCCCCTCCCCCACAGTCCCTGGCAACTGCTCATCTCCTTTCTGTCTCTATGCATTTCCCTATTCCAGACACTGCATATAAATGGAGTCACACAGTATGCGGTCTTTTTATCTGGCTTCTTTCACTTAGCATAATGTTTTCAAGGTTCTTCCATGTTGTAGTATGCATCAGTTCTCCCAGTTCCCCGACCAGGGATTGAACCCCAGCCCTTGGCAGTGGAAGCACAGAGTCCTAACCACTGGACCTCCAGGGAATTCCCTCCTTTTGTTTTTTTGATTGGGGTGAAATTCACATGACATAAAATCAGTCCTTTTAATGTGTACAATTTAGTGGCATTTAGCACATTCACAGTGTTGTGCAACCAACTCCTCTATTGAGTTCACCCCAAAAGAAAATCCTATACCCATTAATTGGTCACTCCTCATTTCTGCCTACCCCCAGGGGCAACCACCAATCTGTTTTTTTGTCTCTATGGATTTGCCTATTCTGCACATCTCATATAAATGGAATCTTACAGTATGTGGCCTTTTATGCCTGGCTTCCTTCACTTAATGTTTTCAAGATTCATACATGTTGTAGCATGTGTCAGAATTTCCTTCCTTTTCGTGGCTGACTAATATTCTATTGAATGGATATACCACTTTTTAAAATCCATTCTTTCATTTATGGACATTAGATTGCTCCCACCATTTGGCTAGTATGAATAATGCTGCTATGAACATTCTTGGAGAAGCTTTTATTTGCACACTGTTTTCATTTCTTTTCGGTCTATACCTAGGAGTGGAATTACTGGGTCATATGATAATTCTATATTTAACTTATTAACTTATTATGAAAACATTCAGAATGTTTTCCAAAGTGGCTGCACCATTTTACATTCCCACAGCAATGTGTGAGGGTTTCAATTTCTCCACATCCTTGACTATACTTGATATTTTCCAATTTTTAATTTCCAGCCATTCTAGTGGGTGTGAAGTGATACCTTGTCATGGTTTTGACTTGCATTTCCCTACTAACTAATGATTAGGAGCATTTTCATGTGCCTTCTTTGTATAATCTTCTTTGTAGAAATGTGTATTCAAGTCCTTTGCCAATTTTTTGATTAAGTTGTGAGTTCTTTTTATATTGTGGATACTAGACCCTTATCAGATATATAATTTACATATATTTTTCCTGTACTGTGAGGTGTCTTTTCATACTCTTGATAGCATCCTTTGATATACAAAAGATTTAAATTTTGATGAAGTCCAGTTTTTCTATATTTTTGGATTTTATATCTAAGAAACTATTCCTTATTCCTCTGTTTTCTTCTAAGAGCTTTATAGTTATAGCTCTTAGGTCTAGATCTCTGGTCCATTTTTCAGTTGATCTTTGCATATAGTATGAGTAAGGGTCCAACTTCATTCTTTTGCATGTGGTTCCCAAGTGTCCTAGCACTATTTGTTGAAGAGACTATTCTTTCCCTCATTGAATGGTCTTGTCGCCCTTGTTGAAAATCAATTGACCATAGATATATGGGCTTATTTTTGGACTCTTAATTCTGTTCTGTTGATATATATGTCTATTATGCCAGTACCACACTGTTTTATTATCACTTTGTAGTAAGTGTTGAAATCAATAAGTGTGGGTCCTTCATCTTTATTCTTTTCTTCAAGATTATTTTGGTTATTTGGGTACCCTTGCAATTCTGTACGAGTTTTAGGATCAAGTTTTCCATTGCTGCAAAAAAGATTGATGGGATTGTTAGGGATTGCATTGTATTGGGTTGGCCAAAAAGACCCTAAGATGTTACAGAAAAACCCAAACAAACTTTTCGTCCAGCCCAATATCTGTAGATCACTGTGGGGAGCATTGCCATTAACAATATTAATTCTTCCAATCCATGAACACCGGGAACAAATGATCTGAAATGCTATATGAGCAACAACTACAATAGAAAAGTAATAAACAAAAGGAAATGATACCATTTACAATAACATCAAAAAGGATAAAATACTTTGGAATAAATTTAACCAAGGAGGTGTAAAACTCGTACACTGAAAACTACAAAATATTGCTGAAGTAGAGAGGACTGAAATGAATGGAAAGACATCCCATGTTCATGAAGGACAACTTATTTCTTTGTGTTGGTGTTGTATCCTGCAACTTTGCTTTGCATGTTTCTAGAAATTGGTCCTTTTCAACTAGGTTACCTAACTGGTAGAGGTACAGATCTTCATATAATTCTCTTATGATCTTTTTTCATTTCTGTAAGGTCAGTAGTAATGTCTCCACTTTCATTTCTGATTTTAGGAATTTGAGTCTTCCTTTTTTTTTCCCCCTCAGTCAGTGTAGCTAAAGTTTTGTTAATTTTACAGATCGTTTCAAAGAACCAGTTTCGGGTTTTGCCAGTTCTCTCTATTGTTTTTTCTGTTCTCTGTTTTGTTTTTCTTTTCTCTAATCTTTATTATTTCCTTCCTCTGCTAGCTTTAGTTTTACTTTACTGTTCTTTTTATAGTTCATTATGGTAGAAGGTTGGGTTATTGAATTGAGATCTTTCTTCTCCTTTAATATGAATATTTAAAAAATTTTATTAGTGTGTAGTTGATTTACAATGTTGTTAGTTTCTGCTGTACAGCAAAGTGAATCACTTATACATATATCCACTCATAGTTTTTTAAATTTTTTATCTTTTTATCTTTTTTTAAATTGAAGTATCGTTGATTTACTATATCCACTCTTTTTCAGATTCTTTTCCCATACAGGTCATTACAGAGTATTGAGAAGAATTCCCTGTGCTATACAGTAGGTTCTTATTAGTTATCTATTTTTTATACAGTAGTGTGTATATGTCAATCCCAATCTCCCAGTTTGTCCCTCCCCCCCCTTTTCCCCCCTAGTAACATAAGTTTGTTTTCTACATCTGTGACTCTATTTCTATTCTGTAAATAAGTTCATTTGTACCATTTTTTTAGATTCCACATATAAGTGATATCATAAGATATTTGTCTTTCTCTGACTGACTTACTTCACTCAGTATGACAATCTCTAGACTGTATAAACAAATGAAATAATGCCATTTGCAGCAACATGGATTGGGCCTAGAGACTGTCATAATGTGAATATTTATAGCTGTAAATTTCTCTCTGAGTACTGCTTTCACCTGATCCCATAAGTTTTGGTATTTTGTGTTTTTGTTTTCATTTATCTTAAAGTATTTTCTGATTTCCCTTGTGATTTATTCTCTATCCATTAGTTGTTTAAAAGTGTGTGCTTAATTTCCACTGTCTGTGAATTTTCTAAATTTCCTTCTGCCAGTGATTTCTAGTTTCATTCTGTTGTCAGAGAATATACTCTTTATGGTTCCAGTTTTTTGAAATTTATTGAGACTTGTTTTGTGGCCTAACATACTGTGTAAACCAGAGAACAATCCTTGTGAACTTGAGAAGAACGTGTATTCTCCTGTTGTCAGGTGGAATGTTCTGTATATGCCTGGTAGCTCTAGTTGGTTTATACTATTGTTCAAGTCCTCTGATTTTCTGTCTAGTTTTTCTAGCCATTGTTGAAAGTAAGGTAGTGAAGTCTCTTTTATTGTAGAACTATTTCTTCCTCTAATTCTGTGCATTTTTGCTTTATATATTTTAGGGCTCTGTTGTTAGGTGTTTATATGTCTATAGTTGTTATATCTTCTTGAGGTATTGGCCCTTTTCTCAATACATAATGTCTTTCTTTGTCTCTTGTAAAAATTTTTACTAAAGTCTATTTTGTCTGATATCAATACAGCCACCTTTCTTTTGGTTACTATTTGCATGGAATATCCTTTTCCATCATTTCACTTTCAACCTAGTTGTGTCTTAGCATCTAAAGTGAGTCTCTTGTAGATAGCATATATAGAGTAATATATTTTGTTTTGTTTTTATCCATTTGGCAGATCTCTGCCTTTGGAGAGTTTAATCCATTTATATTTAAAGTAATTGATGATATGGGAGGACTGAATTCTGCCATTTTGCTGTTTGTTTTCTTTCTTTTTCATGGAAAGGCATTTTATTTTTATGTATGTATGTACGTATGGGGGCTGCATTGGGTCTTTGTTGCTGTGCACGGGCTTTCTCTAGTTGTGGCAAGTGGGGGCTACTCTTTGTTGTGGTGCATGGGCTTCTTATTATGGTGGCTTCTCTTATTGTGGAGCACAGGCTCTACGCACAAGGGCTTCAGTAGTTGTGGCCCATGGGCTCAGTAGTTGTGGCTCGCGGGCTCTCGAGCACAGGCTCAGCAGTTGTGGCACATGGGCTTAGTTGCTCCGTGGTGTGTGGGATCTTCCCGGACCAGGGATCAAACCTGTGTCCACTGCATTGGCAGGTGGATTCTTAACCACTGCGCCACCAGGGTAGTCCCAAGGCATTTTATTTTAAATACAGCAGTGTGTACATGTCAATCCCAAACTCCCAATCTATCCCTCCTCCCACCCTTCTCCCCAGTAACCATAAGTTCCTTCTTTAAGTCTGTGAGTCTATTTCTGTTTTGTAAATAAGTTCATTTCTTTCATTTTTTCTTCTTGGATACAGCATATAAGTGATATCATATGATATTTGTCTTTCCCTGTCCTACTTATTTCACTTGGTATGATAATCTCTAGGTCCATCCATGTTGCTGCAAATGACATCATTTCATTCTTTTTAATGGCTGAGTAATATTCCATTGTATATATGTACCACATCTTTATCCATTCATCTGTCAGTGGACATTTAGGTCACTTCCATGTCTTGGCTATTGTAAACAGTGCTGCAATGAACAATTGGGGTGTGTTTATCCTTTCGAACCATGTTTTTCTCTGGGTATATGTTGAAGAGTGGGATTGCTGGATTATATGGTAGCTCTCTGATTTCCTTTTCTCCACACTTTCTAGTTATTTTCTTATTGGTTTCCCTGGTATAATGGGTTGAATAATGTCTAACAAAAATTTATGTTTACCTGGAACCTCAGGATATGACCATATTTAGAAATAGGGTCTTTGCAGATATAATTATTAAGATGCAGTTATATTGGATTAGAATGAGCCCTAATCCACTGATGTCCTTATAAGAAGAGAAAACAGACACACAGAGAGGGAAGAACACCACGTGATGACTGAGATAGACGTTAGAATGATACATCTATAAACCAAGGAATGCTAAAGATTCTTGGTAACCACTAGAAAAATAGGAAGAGGCAAGGAAGTGTTCTTCCCCAGAGCCTCCAAGAATATGGCCCTATCAGCACCTTGATTTCAGACTTCTAGACTCCAGACTGTGAGAGAATAAATTTCTGCTGTTCAAGTCACCCAGTTTGTGGTACTTAGTTACAGCAGCCTGAAGAAACTAATTACATTTGACAACGTATTAGTTTGAGTTAAGACCAACTTAGCCTCAGTAGCATGTAAGACTCTGCTCCTATACAGCTCCATTCCTCCTCCTTTATTTTGTTGTTAACAGAAATTAACTCTTTATACATACTTTGCCATTAATATAGATTTACAAGTATTGTTTTATGCATTTGTTTTCTCAAATCATATAGGAAAAAAGGAATTATAAACAAAATAATAATACTGAATTTTATATTTACTTATGTAGTTACCTTTACTGGTGTTCTTTTTTCCTTTGTTTGTCTTTGAGTTACTGTCAAGTGTTTTTTCATTTCAACTTTAAGGAATCCTTTTAGCATTTTTTGTAGGGCAGGTGTACTAGTGGTGAACTGTCTCAGCTTTAGTTTATCTGGAAAAATCTTAATTTCTCCTTCATTTTTGAAGAATAGTTTTATTCAATATAGAAGCCTTGGTTGATAGCTTTTTTTTTCCAGCTTTTTAAATATTTCATTCCAGTGCCTCTGGCCTCTTGGTTTCTGATGAGAACTTGGCCACTAATCTTATTAAGGATCCCTTGTACATGACAAGTCTCTTCTTTTGCTGCTTTCAAGATTCTTTCTTTGTCTTTTTGCAGTTCGATAATAACGTGGCTGTCTTTGAATTTATCCTACTTGCAGTTTGTTGATCTTCTTGAATGTATAGAGTCATATCTTTCATAAAAATCGGGGAGTTTTCAACCATTATTTCTTTCTGTCCTCTCACTTCTTCTGGGACTCCTGTTATGCATATATTGGTCTACTTGGTGGTGTCCCACAGGTCTCCTAGGTTCTGTTCATTTTTCTTCATTCTTTTTTCTTTTTGCTCCTCAGGCTGGATAATTTCAGTTGTTCTGTCTTCAAGTTCACTGAGTTTTTTCTTCTCCTGCTCCAGCATAGTGCTAAATCCATCTAATGAATTTTATTTATTTTTTGGTTTAATAATTAATTTATTTGTTTATTTTTAAATTTAATAAATTAAAGTATAGTTGATTTACAATGTTGTGTTAGTTTTAGGTGTACAGCACAGTGATTCAGTTATATGTGTATATGTATATTATTTTTCAGATTCTTTTCCATTATAGGTTATTACAAATTATTGAACATAGTTCCCTGTGCTATACAGTAGGTCCTTGTTGGTTATCTATTTTACGTATAGGAGTGTGTATATATTAATCCCAAACTCCTAATTTATCCCTCCCCTCACTTTTCTCCTTTGGTAACCATAAGTTTGTTTTCTATGTCTGTGGGTCTATTCCTGTTTTGTAAATGAGTTCATTTTTTTAGGGTTCCACATATAAGCAATATCATATGATATTTGTCTTTGTCTCTGACTTACTCACTTAGTATGTTAATCTCTAGGTCCTATATGTTGCTGCAAATGTCATTATCTCATTCTTTTTTATGGCTGAGTAATATTCCATTGTGTGTGTGTGTGTGTGTGTGTGTGTGTGTGTGTGTGTGTGTGTGTATAACACATTTTCTTTATCCATTCATCTGTTGCTGGACATGTTGGTTGCTTCCATGTCTTGGCTATCGTAAATAGTGCTGCAGTGAACATTGGGGTGCATGTATCTTTTTGAATTATAGTTTTCTCTGGATATATGCCCAGGAGTGGGATTGTAGGATCACTGAAATTCTTCCTGTCTGGGGCACTTCTGAAATTCTGGCAAAAAGGATAGTAGCTGCCCACACCAAATCTGTTTTAGTCAGGACCAGTGCTCCTTGCAGCCTCCTAAGTAGGAAATGAACAGGGAGACATTGTCTACTCTTCTAGATTGGTAAGAAGGGGAAGCAGCCTAACAGCATTAGAAATATCCTGGCCTCAGAGTTCAGATACTGGCTCTGCCACTTCCTGTGATGTGATGTAAGGCAGATCACTTCTCTGCACCTTGGATTCCTCATCTGTTGGGTGAATAACTTACCCTGGTTTGTCTGGGACTTTCCTGGTTTTATCACTGAAAGTAATGCATCTCAGGAAACCCCTTACATGCAGGGAAACCCTACTCATCTGTGAGATGAAGGTAATAGTACCTACCACAGGGTGGTTGTGAGGAGTAGAAAGAGGATACAGGGAAGCACCCAGGGCATGGTTGGTTCCATAGTCATTTAGTTGTTACTTATGCAAAGTGCAGAAGACTGGGAATGATGTACCAAACAGCTAAAACACTGACATGTAGACTTGCTTTCCATGAGGCACCTAAGAGCAGAATTCTGAGAGTTTTCTGTTAGTTCTACTTAACAATTTCTGCGAGCTATCCCTCTGGACACATCGCCGTGTGTCAGATCCCCATGTGCTGCAGAGGGAGAGCCATCACCTGCCTCTTTAATGACACACCCAGCTTCTCCTTCCTGGCCGTGTTCAATGCTGAAGGCCAGGGCTGCATTCACTACAACCTGAAGGCCTGGTGAGTCAGTTGGGGGAATCTTGGCCCCATGGAAGTATCTCTGAGGGTGACAAAGTGGGGCACCGAGGTGCAAAGTAGGAGCCCCTGGGAAAAAGATGGACCAGGCAGTGTCCAGAGATCTAGGAAGACAGTGTGGCAGGGCCAAAGCAGTGCCTGTAGGGACATAGGTGCTTTGAGGCCTTTACTTGCTGGATTCATGTCATAGCCAATGAGAAGGGAAATTCCCCAAGTCCTACTCCACTTGTTCCCGCCAGAGCACTGAGATCTTCACTGTTAGCTAGATTCATGGAAGAATTCTTTAGGGAAGAGAAGTGTTTTATACTAGGAAGCAGTGTAGGAGAGGCCATGGGTAGCACATATTCTTGGTAGCCAAATGTTGATTTTGTCTGATTTTCCTAAGGAACTGTTCTAGGAGGGATTGACTTACTTTCATGTGACGGTTGTTCCGTTTCCCATTTTGGTGCCTGAGATCTTATATGCTCAGGCTCCTGGGCTACGGGCACACGTTCCATTTCTCTCCCCCTTGGGTTAGGCCTGAGCCTCCACCATCTCCTTCAGATCTGACCTTCCCAGCAGACTCCCCAGTAGCATCAAGAGGTGTGAGGGGACATCAGACCATGTTAGGTTGGGTAAGTAGGGCCACCTGCAAGAGTCCACAGTTCCTCCACCTGGGGCAGAGTCTCAGAGCCCTGCCTGCCTATAGCCTGTAGTGATGGGGGCTTCCTTCCAGGTCCTGGAGGAAGCTCCTCATTTATGTATCTCTCCTAGCTGCCCATATGTCTTGGTGTTGGATGAAGAAGGTGGGACCGCCAACGACTACAACGGCTATGTAGTCCACAAGTGGAGCTGGACCTCCAAGACAGAGACTTTGCTCTCTCTGGAATACAAGGTAGGGGTGGGCAGCAGAGGTGGGGCTTGCCACTGGGCTGTCCAGCATTAAGAGCCAGAGGGCTACCTGTATGACAGGAGCCCTAGCCTCAAGGAGCTTGTAATATCAGAGGTTCCCACGTTGATGGGCAGTGGTCCAGGGCTGACTGAAGTGAACTTTTCACCAGCCTACAGCAACTGTTGGCTGCTGTACTGACCTTTCTTGGTAATATGCTTCCTGTTTTATTTTTATTATTAATGATATTATATTTTATAGTTAAAATGTCCTTTATTTTAGGAAGTAACTGTTACAGTAGTTGATAGTTTTATTTTTAATGCCTATGTGTGGCAATAAGAAAAGTAATTCTATGTTGGTCTCCCCAGTTTTTGTTTTTATAGTTTTACTATCTGTGAAACAAAAAAATCTGAGAGGTAAAGGAAGCTGATAGACACAAATCCTTTTTTCATTCATTTGGTTGTTCAGCTATTCATCAAAGAGTTATTAAATAATGTTTAATTACTAATATTAAATAATAACTTAATACATTTAATATACTAATAAAGCAATTAAGTGTGCTTGTCACTTTACCTATGGCAGAGTTTCTCATCCCTGGAACTACTGACTTTTTGAGATGGATAATCCTTTTAATAACTGTGCATTGTAGGATATTTACCAGTATCTCCCTAGATGCCAGGAGTACCCCCTCTCCTAGTTGTGGCAACCAAAAATATCTCCAGACAGTGCCAAATGTTTTTGGGGGGCAAAAATCACCTGTTGTTGAAAATCACCAATCTAGGGGATAGAAAGATAGACAATACCCCTCAAGGAACTCAGAAATCTAGGGGAATAATAAGAATATGTGGTAGAAAAGTATAAGGGCTGTGAGAGAAGGACAAGCTCATAGGATTGGGATTCAGAGAAAGATCACAGAACATAGAATCCACCCTAGGTAAGAGTTACAGACAGAAGCACTGTTACAGTTCATGGTAGGGCTCAAGCATCCTGTCTCATGCCCTTCCTGTTCATCCTCTATGTTGACCACTGGATTCTCATTCTTATATCTCGATTCCTGTAGACCATACCACTGCTCAGAAACATTCAATTCCTTGAACGTGTATCACCCTTCCTACCCCAATGTCCTGAAATATAATACATCTTCTCTCTCTGCCAATCCAAATTTTCCCTCCTTCAAAGCCCTACTCAGACTTCCTGTTCTCATGGCACTCCAGTCCACACCCATTTCTCTCTTCTCCCAGTGCCCACTGTCTGGATTAAAAAGTAATCCGGACTGAAATGACAAATTTCAGTCATTGTACAATTAGTCATGTAATGAAGAGGTTCTCAGTTGTGGCTGCGTATCAGAATCACCCATGGGACTTTAACAAAAATATAGATCCCAGGCACAGCCCTAGAGAGATTGTGATTCAGTTGGTCTGTCATGGGTTCTGGAGTTTGTAGTTTTCACAAGTCTTTCTATTGCTTGACCAGGTCCAAGATCTCCAGTCCAGGAGTGTATTGAGTTATTGCCTTACTATTTAACTTTTTGTAGTTATATGAAAGTTTACAATCCAAAAAGATTATAAATTGGTTGCAGGCAGACACCATATGTTATATGTCAGTATGGCCAAGTGGACAGAGAACTCTGGGATGAGGGTCTGAGGAGCCACGTACTAGTGTCAGCTTTGCCAAACCCTGGGTGTGCAGCTTTCTGAAAACCACTCAGCTTCTCTGAGTCTTGGTGGCTCATCAATACAAGGTGGGTCACAAGAGCCTCCCTCCTGCCTCACACTGCTTTTGTGAGAACTAAATGAAACAGTGGTGGGGAAGGTGCTTTGACACACTAAAGTGTTTCAGCAGTGTGTCTTAGTTCATTATTCTGTTCCCTAGAGCTGCATACAGAAATGCACAACAGGGGCTGGTACAGTCAGGAGTGGCCTGGAACACAAGTGGCCTTGAGTTGTAACATGAGTGTGTGTGCATATTATTCTCATAGATACAGATAAGAAGGAGGGAGAGCATTCTGGATAGAGGAATATCATCTGTAAAGGCTTGGAGTTGGGACTCAGGGTGGCATCGTTAAAAGTTCACAAGTGCTTCTCATGAAAGAAAAGTAGGGAAGAGCTGTATGTGTCAGGGGGGTGGAGGTGAGAGGCACTGGATGTCATGCTGAGGAATTTGCATGCTGTCTTGGAGGCTGCAGTGGCAAGTTTGTTTCTGCCCAGATATTTATCGTTCCCAGCATTTTCATTCCTCTCTGAAAATCCAGTTTCCCTCCAGTATCATTTCTCTTCATCCTGAAAAACTTCCTTTAGCATTTCTTGAAATGGAGATCTTCTGGCAACAAATTCTGTTTTCTTTCATGTGAAAAATGTCTTTATGAAAGAATATTTTTGCCAGATATGGAATTCTGGTTGACGTTTTTTTCTATCAGCATTTTAAAGATGTTCCACTGTCTCTGTCCTCCATAGTTTCTGATGAGAAGTTTGTAGTTATTCAAATCATTATTCATTTTCTCTCATTCCTTTCAAGATTTTCTCTTTTAGTTTTCTAAGTTTGACTATGATGTGTCTGCATGTGGTTGTCTTCATATAAATTCTGTTTGGGGTTTACTGAGCTACTTTAATCTGTAAATTCACATCCTTCAACAAATTTTGGGGAGTCTTCTGCTGTTGTTTTAGGGGAAGAATGCACTCCAGTCTCCTTCCTTTTCTTCTGAGACTCCAATTACATGTATTTTAGACCTTTTATGTTGTCCCAAAGGTCCCTGAGTCTCTGTTCTTTTTGTTGTTGTTCAATATTTTTCTGTTTACTTTTCAGATTGGATAATTTACATGGATCTATCTCCAAATTCACTGACTTTATTCTGTCATTTTCATTCTGCTGTTATGCTAATCCTGTGATGTTTAAAAATTCCAGATATTTATTTTCAACTCTATGATTTCTGTTTAGTTGTTTTTTATATTTTTTGTTTCTCTGCTGAGATTTCCTAATTTTTCTTTCATTACAAATATATTTTCCTTTGCCTCATTGAGCATAGTTAAGTTAGCTGCTATAAAGCCTTGTCTGGTAATTTCAACATCTGGGACATATCAGACAGGATTGGTTATTTGTTGCCTTGAGAACAGCTCACACTTCACTGGCTCTTCACATGTTGAGTTATTTTGGATTGCTGACATTGTGGATGTTATGTTTTAGAGTGTCTGAGTTCTGATGTATTTCTCTGAAGAGTGTTGATTTTTTTTGTTTTAACAGGCAATGGGCTTGTTTAGACTCATAATGCAAACTTTGTCTCACCCGCAGTGGGCAGCAGCTCAAATCTCAGTTCAGTTTTCTGTTTCCCTGGAAGTAAACTGCCTTGAGTTTTCACTGCTCACACATGGTTCAGGGATCAGCCAAAGCTGTGGACTGTTTAATCATAGCATTTGGGACTCTACTTCTCTGTCCCTTCTGTAATTCTCTCCTTACTTTTCTGTGACTGTAGTTGACCCCAGGTTTTGTCCTTTGGTTCTTTGGGCCAGAAAGAACTCATCCCATGTTGATCCTTTTAAGTTTTGACTCTTCGAAATCTGCCTGCTTTTGCTTATTCTTCTGAGCCTTTGAGTAGTTGTTTTTTGTATTTTTTCCAAGTTCTGTGGGAGGATCAGCCTGTTAGGACCTGACTCAGCTATAGTGGGAGTATAACCAGCTGGTTAGTTTTTAAGCTGAGGGCTGCTATGCTCCATCCAGCATTTATGTGGAAGGTTGACTGGAGAGGGAAAGATCAGCAGATGGGGCTAGTAGAAAGACTAGTTAAGGAGTTACTAGGCAGACTTGACATGATGGAGGGTATTAGTAATATTTTTTAAAGGGGCCATTTCAGTAAAATAAATCAGTGGCATTCAGAAATGGGCTGTAGGGGATAAATGAGAGGAGGAGGGAATTATAGATGACTCCACATGGAGTGTGTGTGTCTGGGTGGAAACAAAGCAGTTTCTGAGAGGCTCAGAGACCCATATGGTTTTTGATGTGCTAATTGGGCTCAGTGGACATCTCTCTCTGGACAGGGATCCTCACCTAGAACGAGAGATTGGGGATGATATGCACGTCATATACATGTGGCTCACGAACTCCCAGGAAGATGAGCAGTGGCTGAGTTCACAGAGCACCATCGTTGGGACATTGGGAAGAGGAAGAGAAACCACCCAGGGGCCAAGATAATTAAAAACAGCTCTACCAAGCTAAGCCCTTTGCTTACTTTATCTGTGAGATCTGCTTAGTGCCCCAGAGAAAGATTCTGTTATTGTCCCCCGGCTCAGAGAAGCTAAGCAACCTGCCTCAAGTGTCCAACCACAGTGCTTGAGCTCCCAGCCACAGCTCACAGCTCTGTTCTACAGTCTCTAGAAGGAGAACTGGAGCAGGTAGTGTCTCTCTTAAGTGAGAGTGATCTACAAGTTTGAAGATGTCACACACTTGTCAGGAAGATGGTCATGGATCAGATGTTTTCAGAGTGTGGAAGGGGACTAGCATTCAGGCTGCAGAGAATGAGGAAGGGGCTGGATGGTGAGGAAATTGAGTGTGGACCTTTGGACCAGCAAGTGGAATCCTAGAAGGAAATGGGAGGAGTGAAGATGGAGAGCACTTTCTTAGTTCCGAGGAGTTCTGGGGCACGTGTAGGTCAGGGGCTGTAGAGCTACAGATGCCCAGGCCCTGGTGGGGCCACTGTGCATAAATAACTCTCTGCACACCTGAACCATCCAGGGCCTTACGTGCACGTTGCTCTGCCACATCCTGACAATATCTGCTCGTCTTTGGTGTGGGCCTTTGTGATTTAGAAAGCCACTTCCATAATCTTTATCTTATTTGAACCTAACACAAGCATTTTGACTCTGATATTGAAGATTGGGAGCTTCAGGGAGGCCCAGTGGCTTGCTAACCAGAGGCAGACCTGGGACTCACTCCAGGCCACAGAGTTCTTAGTAAGGAGTGAGTTGCTATAAGGGCAACTCACCCTCCCTGTGTTCTTCTCTGGGACTGCTACCTAGGAAATCCCACCATTTTGGAAGTGATGAAAAAGGGTGGCCCCTCCTCAGGGGAGGAGTGGTGACACATTTGGTGACTGCAGGAGAGGGAAATGAGCATGTGTGGCACGGCCCTGGCTAGGTTCCCTTTTGCCATCTGCCCACCCACCTGCAGAGGGGTGAGGTCTGGTCCCCCTGCCAAGGTAGCTCTGCGTGCTTTCCTAGTCAGACCTGGTGCCTGGGTGGACCCAGCATCAGATTCAGGGACAGTGTTGGCTTCTGACTCCTATCCAACTCTACCAGAGCCAAAGCTGACTCGCCTGTTGGATCCCTGTGTCTCCTTCACAGTTGGTTACAGGTTTGGGTTGGAAAGGGAAAGGGCAGGGGTAAAGAACCATCATTATTTTTTCTGCTTATCCCTCAAAGAAAAATTGGAATTCTGAAAATAGGATTCTAGCATAATAACCAGAAAGATCTTACAGCTCTCTTAGGCCCAAGCCAAGAGGGGTTTTGTGTTTTGTGGTTTTCTGTTGTCCCCCCTACCCGGTCAGGAACGGGTAGGTGGGACAACAGAAGCAGGGATCCACTGAGTCCTGGTTTCTTCATCCACAGGTGAATGAGCAAATGAAGCTGATGGTGCTAGGACAGGATTCTATCATGGCCACCTTTACCTCCCTGAATGAGACAGTAACACTCCCCATATCGGCCAACAGCTGTCCACATGGGACATCGCACAATAAACGGGTAAGGCACACAGACCAGTCACCCAGGCCTGACCCCAGAGTGTTTTAACATGGATTGTCACTTTGGAATGCCTTTGTTCTTCCTGCCTCCCCTACCCATACAAAGCCCCACCTCTTTACCTGTCTAATGGACTTGTACTCATCGTTCACTGTCTGACTTTAGTACCACCTTCTCTGTGAAACTTCTATCAAGAGTCTTTCAGGGGCTTCCCTGGTGGCGCAGTGGTTGAGAGTCTGCCTGCCAATGCAGGGGACACGGGTTCGTGCCGCCGTCTGGGAAGATCCCACATGCCGCGGAGTGGCTGGGCCCGTGAGCCATGGCCGCTGAGCCTGCGCGTCCGGAGCCTGTGCTCTGCAATGGGAGAGGCCACAACAGTGAGAGGCCCACGTACCGCAAAAAAAAAAGAAACTGTATTGGCTCAATAAACTGAAAAGTCAGTCTGTAGATAGGCAGCATCAGGCATGGCTGGATCCAGGCCCTCAAAGGATTCCATCAGATCTTCCCATCTCTTGGCTCTGCCTTCCTCTTCGTTGGCTCTGTTTCCAAGGAGTTTCTCTTATTATGGTGACAAGATGGTCATGAGCCTCTCCAGGCTTATTGTTCTACCAGCTTTGGTCTCCCCAGGAAAAAGAGGAGTTCTCTTTGCTAAGCACTTCAGTAGAGGTGCCAACACCAACATCATTGGCTCCATCTACTTCCTGCACCTGAAATGTTCTCTGTGGTGAGGTATGTGTGTTGCTCTTACTAGCCAGGCTCGAGTAGTCATGTCCATCCCAGGAGCCGAGGGGTGTGATCAGCCCCAGGTATACCACTCGGGCAAGTGATTAGGCAGGAGTGTGTTCCATAAAGGAAAATCACGGTGCTGTTACCAGAAAAGGGAGATATGATGCCGGATAGAGTAACTGCCCATGTATTGATGACCCTCTCCACCACCCCCTTTCCCATCCCAGGTAGAGTCTGCCTGTCCCCTTGCTCAGCCCTCCCAGCAGTGACTCACCTCCATTCCAACACTGCTTTATTTACAAGCCAGCCTTCTCTACCAAAGTGGGAATTCCCTGTGATTCCTACAGGTACTGTTGCCCTGAAGCACAGGGACTGCTTCAAATGAAGCACTTGCTAAGGGGGTAGGTGAGCCAATGTTGGAGTCTGGAAACTCAGTTCTTCATTCACTGGGTCTTTGTGGATCCTACTGTGTGCCTGGTCCAGAGTCAACATTGTGGAAAGAGATGGAGAGGATGAGGGGACAAAGTCCCTGATCCCTGAGGAGTTTATAGCCTGGAAGAGAATAGTTGACATTCACCATGAGACTGGGGTGGCCATGGGCTCCTTGGTGGCACTGACCGCTGGCATTACACACAGGGGATTGGCTCACTCAAGAAGCCTCCTTGGAGTGGGAGCCGGGGGGACCACACCTCCCAGTCTTCCCGGGGCCAGTCCCGGTTTACGCCTATCAGCCCAGGAGTTATTAGTAGCATCCCTCTTAGAAGTGTCCCAGTTTGGCTGATAAATTATAGTCACTCTGAAGGAGGCGTTTGCACTGTGAGGGCATTTGCCACCACATGCCAACAGGCTCGCAGGGCTGGCAGAGCCCATAGGAGCAGCCAGCCCCACGTCTCCCCTTTACATGGGGACACGCGAGGCTGGCATTTGTTGGAGACCCATGTTATCTAAACAAGACACAGAGAACACCTGTGTTTTTCCTGGAGGGAAGCGTTGCACCTGTTTTTTTCACTGCTCTTACATTTCAGCAGCATTTCAACTTCATTAGTTCATTAGCTAATTCAATAAACATGTATCAGCGGGCTTCCCTGGTGGCGCAGTGGTCGAGAGTCCGTCCGCCTGCCGATGCAGGGGACACGGGTTCGTGCCCCGGTCCAGGAAGATCCCACATGCCGCGGAGCAGCTGGGCCCGTGAGCCATGGCCGCTGAGGCTGCGCGTCCAGAGCCTGGGCTCTGGAACGGGAGAGGCCACAACAGCGAGAGGCCCGCGTACCGCAAAAAAAAAACCCCAAAAACATGTATTAGCACCTGCCGTGTGCCGGATTGGCTGCTGGGGATGTCGAAGTGAAAGAAGCCTCACTCCCTCTAGTCTCTGAAATACTTTCACTCTAATGGAAGGGGCAAAAGCATCAACACAGGTTTGTGATCCAGCTTGACTGGTGTGGTGTGTGGGAGAGAGGGGCGCTGAGGGAGCTGGTGGGTTCGTTAAAGGGATCTCATTGAGCACCCAGGAAACTCAGACGCCAGTGACTTCAGCCTACATTCCTCATGCCAAAGAGCAAAACAACGCCAGGATTTTGAGTCCATCAGGGCTGAGATGACTGCTGATTGATGAGTCCATTCCGTCAATTTGTATGACAATGAGTCCATTCTGTCAATTTGTATTTTAAAAAGTGTGCATTTACTTATCAAAGGCAATAGATAATAGAAAAATTTTTGTTCACATAAAATTGCAGTAATGCTTTGTTTTTCTGGCAACCTCTTGTCTGGTAATCTCTGAAATTTGGAACATGGCTAAGAACCAGGACGTAAGCAATTGAAGGCCCCCATGAACAGCTGAGAGAAATCACTCTTAAGTTCCATGTACCGAACATGTCCTCTTGGCCTAGGAAAGCCCCTCAGTCATTAACATCTTATGTTTTCTTAGCTAAATGCAGCCTTAGAGAGCTAGAATCAGAGGTCCAGAGCTGTGCAGTCCAATATGGTAGCCAGGAGTCACAAATGGCTCTTGAGCACTTGAAATGTGACAATTCCAGGCTGAGATGGGCTGGAAGTGAAAGCACACGCTGCACTTCAAAGACTTAGTGTGAAAAGAGAATGTAGCATTTCTTATTGATCATTTATTTTGATTACATGTTGCAATAATCATATTTTTGATGTATTGGGTTAGATAAATATGTTATTAGAATTAATTTCATCTTCTGAGAATGTTTTTATCTATTTATTTATTTTTGGCTGCGTTGGGGCTTTGTTGCTGCGCTCAGGCTTTCTCTAGTTGTGGTGAGCGGGGGCTACACTTTGTTGCAGTGCACGAGCTTCTCATTGCAGTGGCTTCCCTTGCTGTGGAGCACTGGCTCTAGGCGCGCGGGCTTCAGTAGCTGTGGCTCACGGACTCTAGAGTGCAGGCTCAGTAGTTGTGGCTCACGGGCTCTAGAGTGCAGGCTCAGTAGTTTCTGTGCGCGGGCTTAGTTGTTCCACGACATGTGGGATCTTCCCAGACCAGGGCTCAAACCCGTGTCCCCTACATTGACAGGCGGATTCTTAACCACTGCGCCACCAGGGAAGTTCCCTGAGAATGTTTTTTTGTTTGTTTGTTTGTTTCTTTTTTTGCGGTACGTGGGCCTCTCACTGTTGTGGCCTCTCCCGTTGCGGAGCACAGGCTCCGGACGCACAGGCTCAGCGGCCGTGGCTCACGGGCCCAGCCGCTCTGCGGCATGTGGGATCTTCCCGGACTGGGGCATGAACCCATGTCCCCTGCATCGGCAGGCGGACTCTGAACCGCTGCGCCACCACGGAAGCCTGAGAATGTTTTTAATGTGGCTTCAGGAATGTTCAAAGCCACACATGCAGTTCGCATTATATTTTTAGTGAACAGTGGGGATCTAAAGGTGGAATCCTCATTAAGGGAAGCTTGCAGAGGCTGACAGTGCGGAAGGAGGCTGGAAGTTATCTATTAAAAAGAACATTGTAAGTCAAAAAGCATAACCATCTTGGAGACATCTAGCGTAGGGATAAACAGACAAATACATTAAAACAGCTTCTGAAAACCACCGCATTCTAGAGGATAGTTGTTGATGTTGACCAAGGAGACTGACTTGCCCCAGAGCATCCTCGTCTTAACCTCTTCTGTTTGAGAGAGCAGGGTGGTGTACTGTATATTACAACCTTCTGACTAGATCAACAACAACAAATGAAGACTTATTGTGGGTAACAGGATTTCCAAATGTTGACCCTAGCTTCCAGGTTAAACATCTTGGAATATTTTTATGTGAAATCTCGAGGCTGGCAGAGAGCCTCAGCTAGGAGGTGGCCTCAGGCCTTCCCTTTCCTTGCTGGGCCTCAGTTTCCCAATTTGTATAGTGATGTGTAAAGGCCCACCCAGCTATCCCACACTTCTCTCCTGGGACTTTAAAAATCCATTCAACTGCAATCGTGTGTGTGTGTGTGTGTGTGTGTGTGTGTGTGTGTGTGTGTGTGTTTGGAGCTGGCTGTCACCCACTCATCAGCAAACCTGTGGCCATCTAGGAAAGCTGAGGGGTGGGAGTAGGGTGGTTTCTTCCCTCACACTCCCTGTCAGTGGAAAACTTGTTAAACCCATCACCCTGGAAGGAACCACCCATCAGAGCGATAGGCAGAATGGCAGTCCCAGCTTTTATAGCCCTGCGGCCAGGCTCCTCACTAAATTTTCTATCAAGACAGCGCTTTGGAAGCAAGGAAATGCCTCAATTTAAATGCTTTATTAGCCCAGTGCTGCCTCAGATCCTTTTGGGAAGCAAGACTGGGTATAAATTATAAATAAATAAATAAAATTAGCCCAGAGGCAGAGGTTGGGGCCAACAAACAGAAGGATGGTTGAGGCTTTGCTATTAATTGGAGCATCGTTTACAGAAGCCCTGCCTACAGGACAAAGAGGGATACGTGGCTGACTTTATCGCTCTTCAGAAAGTCTGTCCACCACTCACCCTGCTCTCTCCACCTGAGGCTTCAATTCTGCAGAGGAAAAATTATTTCACACCTCCTCTGTGTGAAGTGGGAGATATAGACTGCATGGACCCTGCCTTCAGGGCTGACGAAGTTTAGGGATAAAGAAAGTAAAAAGTGACCAGAACCCAGGGCAAGAAGGACAGGAATGAGCAGATGTGCAAGCTCAATGTGGGGAGTGATTGCTGGTAGCTTAGCAAGTCTGTAACGCCTTCCTGAAGAAAAACTCACACCCTGATTGCCATTAACTTCAGAATCTGAACCTAGTTCCGCCCCGGCAGAGGCAGAGGTTGAACTGCAGGGCGGCCTCACTGTCCCATAGGAGCTCCGGAGCCAGTGTGGCCCTTCGGAGTAATCCTGAACTGAGGCTGGAGGCCTGGGCCTTGGTGCCCATGGGAACCAGTCAATCTGTGTAACCCTGGCCTAGGGCAGTCTCTCAGCAGAGAGTGGCCAGCAGGGTGAAGAGGGTTCTGTGGGTCGTGCGATAGAGGGAGACAGGCAGCAAACGTCCAGAGAGGCGTTTGTCCATCCAGTTATTCATAGCGCAACAAGCATTAATTGAGTGCCTTCTGTGTGATGGGCACTTGGACACAAAGGAGACCAAAACCCGATCCTTGTCCTCTAGGAGCTCAGAGTCTGGCTGGGGAGACAGGCTCCCACGCAACTGATCACTTCACAAAGGGCTAACCTCTGTCTTCAGGCTGCATAGAGAAAGTGGTGAGGGTCCAAGGCAAGGAACAGTTCTGCCCAGTGCAACCAACCTCCCTGGGGGGGGACGTTTGAGGTGGGTTGGGTCAGTGTGTGGGGATTCACTGGGCTGAGGGGAGAGAGGTGGGTCCCAGGCGGGAGCGGCACATCCTCTAAGCCAGGGCTTAGCCTTGTGGTCACTGGGCTGGGCAGACGGCTCCTGGCGGGGCAGGTGACAATGCCCTTCCCCTCGGCCTTTCCCCAGATGACCCGCAGAATCAGCAGCATGGATGAAAAGATATCTAAGATGAGTCGGGCCCTGGCAGAGATCAAGAGGCGGTTTCAGAAGACAGCGTCCCAGTTCATGAACTCCGTCCTGCTGGCGGCAGGTAAGGAGACTATATAGTACGATTATAAATCTTACTACCTAGCGTTATAAATATTTCTTTGTTTTCCCATCCCCGCCCCCCACTCCTGCTTGGAGTTCCCAGAGGCAGGGAACTCCTGTATGGGGTCATCTTTATGACCAGTGCCCAACATTTAGTAGATGTTTGGTAAGTGAATGAAGAAATGAGAGGCCCTTGGCCAGTCTAGCAGAGAAAGCAAAAGAAAAATAAAACAAAGAACATAGATGGAAATGACTTAAGTCTGGAGGCACAGGGAACAACATGGATGCATAGTGTACCCAGCCTCTACATTGAGTGCATAGTGTACCCAGCCTCTACATTGAGTGCTATAAAGGACACAAAGCTGAATGAAACACAGGCCCGTGGGGGAGGATGGATCAAAGCTGGGTCTTGACAGATGGCCAGAACTGAGATTGATTTGTTCTTCCATTCAGCTAGCACTTACTGATCCACTAGCTGCACTAGGGTGGGAGCACTGGGCCAGACAACGGGAGGCAGCAGACTGCGAGAGTAATGGCCTGGAGGGGGAGCTGTGCAGTCTCACAGCAGGGCATGGCGGCCAGGCCACGCCGGGGAGTGACACCAGTGTCTTCTGTTCAGAGGCTTGTTCACCGTAGAATATCCGGTAAAGGAAGAGGCAGAAATCATTCGGACCAGATTAAGGTCCGGGCCCTATCCTGAGCACGCCACCAAGCTGAGTTTATACTCAGGAGAAATCCTTTTATTACAATCTCAGTCAGCCCGACCCGAATCCTCAATTGGAGAGTCTTCGAAGGAGGAGCCTGTGTTGGCTCCTGTGAGCACCACTCGGAAGAAACCCATCAAGGTCCAGGCCAAGGCCACGGTCACACCCAGGTGGGCTTGGGCCTTCACTTCTTCCAGCTTCTGTGTGTCAGATGCTGAGATGGGTAGTAAACACGTGATGGTGAACAAAACAGATGAGGCCCCTCCCTCTTGGAGTTGAAATTTTAGGGGTGGGGAAAGATAGAATATAAACATGTGAAGAGCTGAACTATTTTAGTTAGGGATAAGGCTGGGAAGAAAGCAGACCGGGGACATGGGTTAGAGCCGAGGCTGGCAAACTGTGGTCAGGGGCCAAATCTGGCCCCACTGCCTGCCTTTTTTATGCGTGAGCTAAAAGTCGTTTTTATGTTTTTATTTTTTTAAATAAATTTATTTATTTATTTTTGGCTGCATTGGGTCTTCATTGCTGTGCGTGGGCTTTCTCTGGTTGCTGCGAGCGGGGGCTACTCTTCATTGTGGTGAGCGGGCTTCTCATTGTGGTGGCTTCTCTTGTTGCGGAGCATGGGCTCTAGGCGCGCAGGCTTCATTAGTTGTGGCACGTGGGCTCAGTAGTCGTGGTTCACGGGCTTTAGAGCGCAGGCTCAGTAGTTGTGGCTCACGGGCTTTAGAGCACAGGCTCAGTAGTTGTGGCTTGCGGGCTCTAGAACGCAGGCTCAGTAGTTGTGTCGCATGGGCTTAGTTGCTCCGTGGCATGCGGGATCTTCCCGGACCAGGGCTCGGACCTGTGTCCGCTGCATTGGCAGGCAGATTCTTAACCACTGCACCACCAGGGAAGCCCATTTTTACATGTTTAAATGCTTGGGAGGAAGAAAATCAAAAGACAGGTTTTTCGTGACATGTGAAATGATATGAAATTCAAATTCAGGATCCATAAGTAATGTTTCAATGGGGCACAACCATGCCCACTCGTTTACATGTTGTCTGTAGCTGCTTTCCTGCTAAGATGGAAATTTTGAGTCATTGTGACCAAGACCACCTGGCCTGCAAAGACTAGAGTTTTTACTGTCTGGCCCTTTGTAGAAAATGCTGACTGACCCCAGGCATGGAGAGTGACTGGAAAGTGGGGTGGGATGTGGTACACTCAGTAGACAGTCGGGGAAGCAGTTCTGAAGAGATATTTTAATGGAGGGCTGAAGGATTAGAAATAGGCACAAAGAAGGATCAGGAAGGATCATCAGGCAGAGGACAGAACAAGTACAAATACCTTGAGATAAGAACAAGTTTGGTATGTGTGAGGAAAAGTGAGAAGACCAGTGTGGAGCATTGTGAGGAAGGGGGAAGAGGGATGCAAATTGAGGACAGAAAGGTAGGCAGGAGCTGGATCAGGTAGCCTTGTGAGTGTTATAGAGGAAGCCGTTCTGTACCTGCAAGGCAGGAAGTGACATCATGTGATTCATGAGGTTTTTAGAAAACTGAAAAAAATGATAAGATATATATCTCTTGTGTTTTAACTTAAAAATTTTATAAAATATAGAAAATGAACAAATCCTAAGTTTATATAGCTCAATGTGTATCACAAATTGAACATACCCTATAGGCCCCAAGAAACAGAGCATTATCTGCTCCTTAGACATTCTCTTTTGTCCCCTCCCTATCAATAATCCCACCCTCCTTCCCAACAGGATGATTTCTCACATCATAGATTTATATATTTTTAAACTATTTAAATAGAACTATTCAGTGTGTATTCTTTGATGTCTGGCCTCTCTTGCTCAAGGTTACAATGTGAGATTTATCCATGTTGCTGCGTGTGGCAGAACCACTGCTCATTTTCACTGCTATGTAATAAACTATTGTAAGACTAAACTAAAAATTTTTTGCATTCTAATGTTGATGGATATTTGGGTTGGTTACAATTTTGGTAATGACAAATTGTGCTGGTTTTTGTATATGTCCTTATTTCTGGTTGGGATATGCCTGGATGTGAAATTGCTGTCATAGAGTATGTGTATGTTATGCTAGATCCTGTAGTTCTGGTGAGACTCCGTTTTCCAAATGGTAGTTTCAAGTTCCACTCCCACCAGCAGTGTATGAGCATTCCAGTTGCTCCACATCCTCACAGTGCTTGATATTGTCCATCGTTTTAATTACAGCCATTCTATAATGATGAAATGTTTTTTAATTTGCATTGCCCTGGTGACTACAGAGGTTGAGCACCTTTTCGATTGTTCATTGACGTTTTTGGATGTTCTCTTTTGCGAAGTGCCTGTTGAGTCCTCTTGTCCATTTTTCTACAGGTTGTTTGTCTTTTCTTGATTTATATTTTGGAGTTCTTTATTGTGGATACAAGACTTTTGTCAGTTATACATGTTGCAAATGATTCTCCCACTCTACTCTGGCAGTGGTGTCTATTGATGCACAGAAGTTGCTAAGTTTAATGTCCAGTTTTCAGTCTTTTTGTTTGTAATTAGTTATTTGTAACCTATTTAAGAACTTTCTGTACTCAGACAACATGATGGTATTCTCCAAAGTTGCCTTCTGTTAGTTTTTTCTTTTAACTTTTGCATTTATATCCATCCTCCACCTGCAAATGATTTCTGTGTATGACATGACGTAGGGGCCAAGTTTTATTTTCCCCCATGTATATACTGAACTGATCCAGCATCACCTATTGAGATGATTGTAATTTTCCCTCAAGTCTTTGGTGCAAACTCTGCCATGAATCAAGGGGCTCTATATGTTTAAATCAAGGGTCGTTTTTCTGGAGTCCCTATTTTGTTCCCTATTTGTTAAAACTTTTACCAACACCTAACAGTCTAGTTGTTATAGCTTTTTTTTTTTTTTTTTTTTTTTTTGTGGTATGCGGGCCTCTCACTGTTGTGGCCTCTCCGGTTGCGGAGCACAGGCTCTGGACATGCAGGCTCAGCAGCCATGGCTCACAGGCCCAGCCACTCCGCGGCATGTGGGATCTTCCCGGACCGGGGCACGAACCCGTGTCCCCTGCATCGGCAGGTGGACTCTCAACCACTGCGCCACCAGGGAAGCCCTGTTATAGCTTTTTAAAAAAAAAAACTTTTTAAAATATTTATTTATTTATTTAGGCTGCACAAGGTCTTAGTTGCAGCATGCAGGATCTTTAATTGTGGCATGCAGACTTCCTTAGTTCCAGCATGTGGACTCTTAGTTGTGGCATGTGGACTGTTAGTTGCAGCATGCATGCGAGATCTAGTTCCCCGGGCCCCCTGCATTGGGAATGTGGAGTCTTACCACTAGACCACCAGGAAAGACCCAGTTATTATAGCTTTATAATGAATATTGACATACAGCAGAGTAAGTACTCAGTCTTTGTGTGCTAAGCTGTTTTGCTATTCTTAGCCCTTTACATTTCCGTATAATTTTAGAATCATCCTGTAGATTTAAAACATTGTCCTGGGATTTCAATTTGATTGTTAATGTCTTTGTAATATTGGAGTATTTCAATCCATGAATATGGTATATCTGTTTGTTTATGTTTTCTCTAATCTCTCCATAATATTTTGTGATTTTCAGCATAGAGGTCTTATATGTCTTTCATTAGATTTATTCTATGATATTTTATAGTTTTGGTGCTCTTATAAATTATATTTTAATTTAATTTTTCTATTTGTTGCTAGTTATAGAAAGGCAATTGATTTTGTTTCAGTTGAATTTATTTTTAAATTAATTACAGTAAACATTACTCTTTTTTGTGTAAAAGTCTATGAGTTTTGACAAATGCATAGAGTGGTGTAACCTCCACTGTAGCCAAGATACGGAACAGTTTCCCCACCGACTGAAAAAAAAAAAAGAAAGAAAAAAAGAAATTCCCTCATGCTACCCCTTTGTAGTCAAACTCTTCCCTCACCTGTAATTCCTACCAACCACTGATCTGTTTTCTGTAGCTATGGTTTTGCATTTTGCAGAATGTCACATAAATGAGATTATATTGTATATAGCCTTTTGAGTTTAGCTACTTTCACATGGCATAAGACATGTGAGATTCATCCATGTTGTTGCATGTATCAATAGTTTCTTTTTTTAGTTAGTTAATTAATTAATTTTGGCTGCGTTGGGTCTTTGTTGCTGCATGCAGGCTTTCCCTAGCTGCAGTGAGCGAGGGCTACTCTTCATTGCAGTGCGAGGACTTCTCATTGTGGTGGCTGTCTTGTTGCAGAGCATGGGCTCTAGGTACACGGGCTTCAGTAGCTGTGGCACGTGGGCTCTAGAGTGCAGGCTCAGTAGTTGTGGCTCGTGGGCTTAGCTGCTCCGCGGCATGTGGGATCTTCCCGTACCAGGGATTGAACCCATGTCCCCTGCACTGGCAGGTGGATTCTCAACCACTGCGCCACCAGGGAAGCCCCTCAATGGTTTCTTTTTATTGCTGAATAGTATTCTGTTTCAGGGAGCCCCAACACCACCCCCACATTTAGAGACCTATTGATACTAGTACGCATAGGATTCAGCATATAGTTGTCTCATGGATAAGGTTTATTACAGTGAAAGGATACACGATAGGATGAGCAAGGGTAAAAGACACAGGTAGAATCTGGATAAATCCATATACAGACTCTCCCATGCGCTCTCCCTCCTGTAACGGGACACACCAAGCGTGCTTCATTCTCTAGCAGTGAAAACTTGCAGTAACATGTGCGATGTTTCTCTCCAGGGGTGCGCATTAGCAACTCAGAGCCCAAGGTTTTAATTGGGTAACAGTCATGTAGATACTCTCTGCCTAACAAATATCAAAGTTGCAGACTGCCAGAAGGAAAGCAAGTGTTTAGCATAAATCACATTATTTATATAAACAGTGCAGGCATAGTGTAGGAAATGGTTCAAGTGCCAAGTTCCCAGACACCAGCCAGGGGCCAACCTTGTAGGCAGGTCCTTCTAAAAACAGCAGCTTCAGGCCTCCTATATTAACTCTCTTCTGTATATATTATGTGACATAGGTGGGCAAAAATTTATTTATCCATTTACCCATTGAAAGACATTTAAATTGTCTTCAGTTTTTAGTGATTATCAATATAACTGCTACAAATACTCAAGAACAGGTTTTTATGTGAGCACAGGTTTTCATTTCACTTAGGTGAATTCTTAAGAGTTGGATTGCTCGGTTGCATGTAAATGGTGTGCTTAACTTCATAAGAAACTTCCAAACTGTCTTCCCAAGTCGTTGTACCGTTATACATTCCCATCAGTAATGTGTCAGGGTTCCAGTTGCTCCAAATATTTGTCAGTACTTGATATTGTCAGCTTTTTTTTCCCCTTAAATTTTAGCTGTTTTAATATATATGTAGTAATATTTCAATATCATTTTAATTTGAATTTGTCTAATTACTAATTATGTTGAACATCTTTTCATGGGCTTATTTACTATTCATATATTTGCTTTGCTGAAGTA